CAATAGGCCTACTTCCTTTTTACGAGCAAGTAAAAATGGAATTATTTGTTTTCTTCGCTTGGATTTTAAAATTGTGCTAGTTACTTCCCATGTAAATATTTACATTAAATAAGGGTAAGAACATTTAACTAAATTCTTAAAAGTCTTTGCTGTACAGATAAAATCTACAACAGTTAAATAAAATTGTAAAAACTGTTTAATATTTATTCTTAAATTATTGTTTGCCAGATTATTTACCAATTACTCATTTATATTTTTAAACAAATATTATTTTTACTTTACTTTGAATAGAAAACTTTTAGCGGTATTAAATAAATACTTAATTAAATAAGATTTTTTCACTTGTATATCACTATTCATCACAGGAGCATTAATCGCTTTAAACATTCTCGTGTTCAGAGTATTGCAATCGTGCACAAAAATCGCAAGAAGTTTTGACAGTTCTCATCTATTTACACCTCAGTACTTCATCAGATATTGAGTATAGGAGACTTATTTTAATCGGGCTAAAATAATAAATGCAGATTTATCACAATTTCAGCGTCCTATACGTAATCGAGTCGCAAAAACTGGGCTTTGTCTGTATATATATATATATATATATATATATATATATATATATATATATATATATATATATATATATATATATATATATACAGACAAAGCCCAGTTTTTTTCCGGTATATATATATATATATATATATATATATATATATATATATATATATATATATATATATATATATATATATATATATATATATATATATATATATATATATATATATATATATATATATATATATATATATATATATATATATATATACACATATATATATATGTGTGTGTGTGTGTGTGTGTGTGTGTGTGTGTGTGTGTGAACACGGTAACTTGAGTACCGTTACAGCTAGGTTGATGAAATTTCATATAGAAGTATTATATCAAACGAGCTGACCCGCGACGTAGTATACGCCGCCATCTAGTTGTTTTATTTTCTGCTTATTTGTGAATTCAACACTACCCCCTCCCATGAATGTAGCCGTCCGTGGCGACAGTTTACGGACGACAATGAAAAGAACTTTTTACCTCTCTTTAGTTTCAAATCGTTTAAAAGCTAAATTATCTGCCCCTACCAGCCGTTACTAATTCGACCGGCTCTACTATTGTAAACATTCGGGGTGAACCCTAGCACACTAGAATGCTGGGGGTGGGGGTGGTAGCCATATGCCTATTATATACATATTGTTTGGCGTTTACTTGGTGCGCAATTCTTTTTTTTTTTTGCGATATTCTATTTTTTAAGTTTAAGTAATTAAAAAGTAATTAAAAATGGATTAAAAATCATGTCGATATCCCGAGTTGCCATCCCCCGTAGTGTTATATAAGAATATTCGAGAATATTCAACAGATCCCAGATTCAACCGTCCTACCGACGGGTACGCTAGTATAGATATAGTCATAGATAGACTCAGTGGCGTAGCGAGGTCGGGTATCACCCGGTGCGGCACTTAATGGTGTCCCCCCCCCCCCCCCCATAGAGGCGTAGAGACTCTTCCCGGGAACAAACTTTCAAATTTTCGATTTGCACCCCTCACCTCAAACTTTCGATTTGCACCCCCCCCCTCAAATTTTTCTCTACATGTTTTACTATTTTTTGCCTTGGTGTCACCCCCCCCCCCCTAAATGGTGTCACCCGGTGCGGTCCGCAACCCCCCCCCCCCCCCCCCCGCCCTCCCTCGCTACGCCTCTGGATAGACTGAAGACATCTTTAACTCAATGAACCTTGTCTAAGCATGACGTACCAATTTAACAAATAAATTATTTGTGTGGATTTAAAGTAATATCTTTGTCTTATTCATTGTGTTAATAAGTTGTTTACTTCGACAGGCTCGACAGACAAGCCACTGATAGACCAAACTACGGACCAGTCAAAATCCCTCACACCGGAAGTTGCTGTAAAAAATAAATTAAACCCTCTCTCGGCTATTCTACTCCCGGATTTACCTAAAACACAAAAAGGCACCAAAAGTATTAAAGATAGTTTCGTGAGAAAGCCAATCCACAATTTAATGAATGATCAGCGACCAGAAACCCCTCAAATTATCCCTTTTCTACAAACAATACAGAATGTTTACAACCCAACAGGAAGCAATGGAGTCGCACGGATTCGAAAAATCAACACAAAACCAAGCTCCAGTGTTGGGCGTGAAGGGAAAGATAACCGAAAAGGGTCGCGACGCCATTTTGCCAAAGCGCGCGAAAATGGCGCTGCTAGCAGTCGACTTAATCAACCGGACTGGGGAGGCATGCTTAGCGTGATGGTTGGGATAAAATATGCCATGTCAACGACACAACCCACTCCACAAATGCCGGGCATAGGATATTTATGCTGCCCTCTGGGTTAAAAGAAAACAATACGCTGCGCGCACTTTAAAAAATTATCTTCAACTCTAAACGATTCAAAGTAATTTTATTAAAAGTGACAAATCAAGTAGCCTAACACACTTTGATTTGAATCGCTTTCGAATTAGTTTTTTTTTAAAGTAGTTTTAAAAGCAAATGTAAATAAATTATAAGAATAAATTGTATTTTTTTAATTGAGTTGCTGTTTGTTTGTTTTTTTGTTCCCAGAAAAATGCGCAATCGGATAACTGCGCAAACAAAAAATGCGCAAATACAAACTAATTATACTAATGCACTTTAACGTTGCCATATTTCGTGTAAAATTTTTAGCAAGCTACAATCAACGTACAAGTAGTCACTCATTGTCTATAAAATAATAATAACCCGATTTAAGAAAACAAAAATGCCCTTGCGAAATATTTATGCGCAGTTTCCCGTTGCGCATCTTTCCGGTCACCAATCAGCATGCTACTGAGTGAAATATGAGTGAATTATACACCATCTAATTTCGGAAAATTAACTGCTACCTATAACCTGCCTTTACTGACTTTTTCAACTGTTTTCTACACCAATGGAATTACACCAAAATATCAACTATCAAGGGACAGTGACTGGTAAAAAGAGACTCCCGCCCTCCACCCGAAATCTCCAAAAGGGAGGGAATGGTAGCTTTTCTGCCAACGTGAATAACTATATATAAACTAGGCATGCTGCCCAGCTTCGTTTAGGCTTTCGAAAACATTGAGAATTTTAATGCTTAATTAATTCGCCCATATAAGGCGCCGGTCAGTCGAGGTCAGTTTTGACCCCCTCATCGTAGACTTTTCGGCCAATCTGCCCCCGTGTTCTGTCGCCCCAAGGCAAGATCCTGCCAAATTTGAAGCGCCTGCGGCGTCGGGAAGTGCCCTATCGGGCACCCGACAACTTAGCTTTATAGATCATCTAGATCTAGAATCTCTAGATCTAGATGATCTAGAATATCTAGATCGAGATCAATATCTAGATCTAGAATATCTAGATCTAGAATCCAAATAGATAAAATAACTTTTTTAAGTTTAGGCCGAGAAAATCGTATTGTATACATTTCATAGCGTACATAGCTCTAAATCATATTTGAATGAAATAGTTCATTTCTTTATATTCTAAACTCGGAAGATGACGTCATCAGTTACGTGCTCTTTTTTTAGTGTAAACAATAAGCGACGTCATTGTTAAATGCGTTTTTGTCTCAAGTTTATACAATTTTCCGGTTGCATAAATAATACTGTTTCTCTACATTCGAATACGCCTTTATTTTTTATTTTTCTTCTCTAAATAAATTGTGGTTATACATTTAAAACATCTACCATATTATTTTCAACAAAAGTCCGTATAAAGTATCCATATATCGCTGCCGATTCTGACGTGATGTCCGGCGAAAATATTTTGCGGACAGACAGAGAGAGAGAGAGAGGTGCGAACGTGGGGTTTTATATATTAGGATGGGTGGTGGGGAGCAAAATTGATAGCTCGCTCAGTGCGCTTGAATGGTTTGCTACGCCTCAACTGTACTGACCGTCGCATACAAAGGGGCACTTTAGCTTTTAAATATATCCGGGAGCTTATTCCAACACATTTTGAACAGTGAGACCAGCTTAAATTAAAACTACATTTACAATCATTTCTATAACTTACTTCTATATTTACAACCGTGTACAAGCCTACTAATAATTGTTTAAAGGGGGTGTTCAAATTAAAAGCTCTACCATTAAGTTTAAGTGTGCCATTTAAATAGATCAAGGAGAGTTCCAATATTTTTTAAATATGTAAACATTAAAGGGAATAATTCCACCCATTGTCCAGGAACTTCAACCTTTGTACTCCTATATTACCTAGCCTAAGAGGCAATCAGATGAAGTTAACGCAGATATAACGTGAATGAAAGTAGTATGGATTTGGTAACATTAAGGAATAATATTATGGAATACATACTATACATGGGTACCAGTTATGAGATCTGTAAAGTGCTTAATTACATTTTATTTTAAAGTAAAAATAAAAGAGTTATGATTGTAAAGACTGGGAAACTAAGATTAAAATCACTAGAGCCAATTCTAATACAGGACCAACTGTGAAAGTTGGATGGCAGTACAACAGTATAAAAAAGAGATGAAACCAGAATTCACATACAATGTATAAATGTACTTTATTTTATGACCAATACTTCATATTATTATTGACAAAATTTGTAAAAACATTGTATTTCAAGGATGGAGAATTTCATTACAAATATACCCAACTATGGACAACAATTCATCATATAGTTTAATTATTTACACCAACCACTTCACAATACCTTGCTACTAGTCCATAAACTGTCAAAAATCTATCTTGCTTACAACAACAGGAGCCATTATATTTAGGAAAATATAAATGTTCTTGTACATTATTTTGTAAAAAGAAAAACGAAACTGACAATAGGTTACTATTGTTCATGCAAGGCAGTGTAACAAGACATAATGTTTAGATTTTATGTACAGTATACAAATGGTATCAATGACACTGTTTAAGCATTAGAAAATCATTCAAGTATTCTACTATAAATTTATAATGTGAACATCTGAGCAAAGCTTAAGGTAAGAAAATGGAAAGAAGAGGTGGTCATGAAGTAAAGATGTAATATTACAATAAGAATATACAATGTGAAATGAGTTGCCCAACAAAGTTACGACTTAAAAAAAAAAAAGAAAAACCATGCATGTGAATGACAAAAAATGTTTGATGTGGATCAGGGTTTAACATAAAATTATAAACTTGCTAACATAAAAATCAATGCTGCCAGGGTAATCTCTACAAGACTTCTCAGTTCCTATGGAGCTTACATTAAAAATTTTAAAACACAAACGTAAGTAAAAATTCCATTACAAGTTTAAAAGTAAGAGCTTAGCCAATTAAAAAAAATGCCACTTTTTTGTTTTGAAGATAGCAAATTCCCAAACACCAAGAAGATTTCTTTATTGGTATTGCAGTTAAAACTGCTACCACATTAACCATAGAATGCAATAGAAAACAAAAATGAACTGAGGTAGAAATTTCATTATTGAACATTTCATTACTAGCTACTAATCGGTATGTTATACTAGTTTAAAAAGTAGGCTTCATAATGTATAACAGCCACTTAATATTTAATCAACCAACCAACACATTTATATAGCTAGCACTGCTGAAATAGTATGTTAACCAGTTTTAAGAAATCTGATTAGCTTTCGGGCCTAATCGTTTCATTCTGATTTTTAACAACAATACTGGCTATAGAAACATGCTTGTATAGTAAATAGTCAAATACTAATAACTTATTGTTTTACTAATAGAAAGAAATATCACATCTATTTTAAACAAAAGCCCTAAAAATGAACCCACTGTTCTAACAGATGATGAGTGACGGAGAGAGTAAGTCAGCAAGGTGGCAAACAACATAATGCTGATGCTCATATCTCTCATGATAAAATGCTGTCAAGTTCAAGGAAGGTCCAACAAGTGGTATTTCATTAGTACAAAAAATCAATGGCATGCAAGATGAGAGTTTCTAAGGAACTAATGATTAGTCCAAGTCTAATGACTGCTATACACAAATATCTCGACAGTGTACAATCAAAGCACCTTTACAGCTGTTTAGTGTGATGAATTCAGAAAGTTTAATGGAAAGCAAGAACAAACTCTCTAAAGCATTCATTCAAAAGAAGTTTGCTGCTCAAGCTTACATTTTAAATTCTAAAATCATTCACACATTTTATATCAAAATTTTGATGGTCACATAAAAATACTAATAATTTAAAAAGACTAATTCAGTTTTAATATTAATAGCTAGTAATCAGTTTTCAAATTATTTGGCAAGTATATAATAATGGGATTTCTGTGGTTTAATTTGTGTCATAAATTGCTCTATTTTAAAATCCTTTTAAAAACCATACATCTTGCACCTGTTCAAATTTTTAGTATTTCATTGTTTATGTACAAATAATTTATATCCTACTTTACATTAAAAAAAAAAAAACCAACCTAAAATCATTGGTACCAAATACAATTTGTTGTATATATAATGTGTCATATTTAATCGTTTTTAAAACTCTGTAAACAAAAAGGGAATAAAAGCAATTCTTTGAACCAGCAATTGGAAAATGAAGTAATGATCTCAAAAATATATTGACTAAGCAGTTAAACAAAGTCTTATGTAGCACTATATCTTCAGTACCAAAGTCTGAAGCTTCCAACAATGTTATTCAACTTACAACAACAAGTACATGAACACAAACATTATCTCTGCTATCAAAATTTCAGTCTGAACAATGGTTAGTTATGTATTAGACAAGATGAATGTTTAAGTAAAAGTACACCACTGTAAGAATGTCTACTTATGAACAAGTGTATAAATCTAAATCACAGTTTGAGCTTACAAGTTAAGCTAGCCAGAAGACACCAACTAGATGCTCCAGCTGGGTCCTCACACATCCACCACTTCATCTGGGTAACGCAGTTTGTAATCTGCTAGCGTTTTCTTTATGGTCTCGCTGGAGTATTTACATTTGGCTGATTTGCATGCACATGTGAAGTGTTTCCATTTGATCATCCAGAACTTTTCACCATAATCAAACCTAAAAGAATTGGGGGAAAAAACAGTTGTCAAATACATTTATAAAATGTTATTAAAATTACATTTAACACCAAAACACTGAGAACATAGTTAACTAAAAAAGTTAAATCAAGATTGAAAGCTATTTACAGATAATTGAACTTGTAATTAAGAATTATTTATTTCAAATTTTTAAAAATTGCAACTTCACTTTAATAACACACTGCATAACCTTTCTGATTTACACATGGTACCAAATCAACAGTTTCTCTTCACATGAACCTCAAAGACTTACCCTAGTTCTTCATAAGCTTTTATTTCCCTAGAAGAAAACAGACATATCCTGGGGAAGCGCAGGTCCTGGTGTTCCACAAACACCTTCACAGGGATCAAATTGGGCTCACAAAGATGGTTGATAAAACGACTTATGTTCCCATATTTACGAGCATCTATACAGTAAGTGTCTCCGTCCTGAAAAGTCAACAATAAAATTCAAATAATTTTTTTTTCTCTCTAATTATATGGTATATAAAACAGCACATACAGAAAAACAAACTTTACCAAGTTAATATGTTCAGTTTAGTATATTAAAGGTATAAAAAAATAAATACCAATAACTGAGGTAAGAGAAAATTTGAAATACCTTATTGTCCAAATCAAATAAATATGAGTCGTCTTCTCTCCTGTCAGCTTCTGAATCAGATATCAACTCACCAATGTACCTATAACAACACATTTGTTCACATTAGATGATTTACATACCATCATGTATTAGATGAGTTTAATGAGCAATGCATTTAACTTAAGTTGGGTAACTAACAGCCATTTTTTATCTCATTTTTGTGGCTTTCACTTAAAATCAACCTACACAGACTGATTATTTTATAATTTATCTATACTCAGAACTGACTGAAATTCCTTTTCAAACTTAATTTTATTAAATTAGTCTAAAAAAACTTTGATCTGCATATATACATGGATGTGTGAGTGGTAAAAACTTTTAATTAGTTACATCAGTGTTGATTAGTTTAGTTAATGTAGCTGACACAGCTTACATGATATAAGATGTTCTCAAGTTGTTACACAGGCCCAAAATAAAATGAGTCATTATGAAACTCCCTGAATTTTTACTCTAGCACCAGCATGAGACACAAAGGACAGAAAACATCCAGTATGGCACTTTGTGATGCATGTAAATAGTCAACTAGTAACCAACAAGCACTAAGTTGACTAATCTTTTCTTTAAATTATAATTATTAAAGCATCCTACTCGCAAACAAAAGTCCCTCGGGGTATGTCCATAAGAGTTCTCACTCCCCAGCCACGACCATTTGTTCTAAACATCTGTAGTCTACACCTGTGTACAGTAAAGTAGCAAACAATTAGGGCTGTATTCATAAAAGCGCACATTACAAAAATAATTACAGAAAATGATAATAAAATGGCTAATTATTTGAATAAAAATTATAATTTAATACCAAAAAATTATGCATGAGAAAAAAAACTGCTATTTTTAAGATTAAAAATACTTACGTAATTCCATTTTGGACAACTCTGTTATTACAATTAACCCAGCATCTACAAGCCCTATTACATTCAAACACTAATGGTGGTTCCAACAGATTCACCTCTTCCAGAAAATGGCCCATCTTTAAAAACAAAATTTTAGACAATATAGAAAACTGGATATGTAATAAATATTTTAAATGAGTAAAAGCAATGACATTGAATTAAGTTAAAAATTATCAGAGAAATGTAAGCAAACTTATTTTAATGCAGTATAGAGTAATAAAAAAATAATTCCAAAGTTACCTTATCATACCAGCATTTGATGCTACTGCGACCACATACACAGTACATGGAAGAGCAATCATCTTTACATCTACAACTCTGTGAAGAAAAAAAAGAGAAAAATAGCCTAACCTTTTTACCATAAATTTTTTTTACTAGAATGTGTAAGAAAATGTCTCTAACTTGATTGTATGAGTCTGCAGAGAGCAATATTTACCTGTAGACTAGTTATAACATAGTTAATGTTGAGAGGGCTTGTCTCTACGTTTTCTGTTACATACAAGTAATCTGTTGGACATGGTTCAGAATCTTCTGAATTCACACAAGCAATTGGATTCTTCTCCCTTCCCATTGTGATATCCCTGATGAAAAAAAAACTAATTATATAAGCAAGTCTACATGATAATATGGTAGCCAAGTAAAAAATATATGACTCTATGTACAAGTATTAGCGTTTATTGAGAAATTACAATACATCGACCATCAACTTTTCAATATATTAAAAATACATAAAAAAATAATTTAGTAATGAAAGTGCTTTAATTTAGGCCTACATATAAATGTTCTCATTTTACAGAAACTTCTTTTCTTAAATTTGGTATGAATTTATCACAAAACCGTTTGAAACTAGATATTATAATTGTGTTTAAGACACACTTTCTACATATATATTGCTTTTGTGTTACTTCCGCATGGGCCACAAAGTTTTCATAGTTAACATTTAAGTTAATAGAAGATTGTTCTCAAGTTGTAACAAAGGCCCACAATAAAATGAGGCATTATGAAACTCCCTGAATATATACTCTAGCACCAGCATGAGACACAAAGGATAGAAAACATCCAGTATGGCACTTTGTGATGCATATAAATAGTCAAAACCTTTAAAACTAGCAACCATTAAGCAAAATGATGGCTCAAATAATACATTAATAATGACAGAACTACAACTCTATCTGCTCTGCAGGTTATATGACATGCCACCAACAGAACTGTAATTCAAACTATGTCAGAGCTGCAAGTTACATGGACTACAAAGAAACCAACCTTTCAACAAGCCTCTCTGGTTGTATAAGTTTTCTTGCAGCAAAGCTCCTTAACTGTTGATTAACTTTCAATGCCATCCATACTTGTCCAGCCTTGTTCACACAGCACTGTAAAAATCATGCATGGATAATTTTTAACTTCTACGGCACATTTTGTATTAGGTAATCTTAACATTTTAACCTCATACTGAAAAAATTAAACGATTTTAATTACTTTAACAACTTATAGATATCTAGATTTAGCTTACATCAACAGGTGTCTCATCCTTATTGTTTTTTGTATCAACATCAGCACCCCGTGCCAGTAATAAGCTAAGAGAAAAAATTAAGCATCAAAGTTAGTATTCATGTGCTCTACTATTAAAAAACAATTTCATAGAAACTAGTTGTAAAAAAGAAAATGGACTTGACTTACACAACTATATCATAATGGTCCTGCCTGGCAGCTATATGACTGTAACAAGAATCAGACTAGTTATAAAATCTTAGAATATAAGACAAACACCTATAATGTTAACAAAGTAAAACAATGGTATTTGGATTTCAATTCATAATTGTGGAGTACTTACAGAGGTCTATCTCCATGCTCATTGATAGCATCAATCTCACAGCCCATATCTATAAACATCTCAGCTATTTCTAAACTTCCAGAAAAAGCTGCCCAATGAAGTCCAGTATTTTCTTCCTGTACATTCAAAGAATCAACAATCTAAATAGCCTACAACATAACGTATGAAATAATGTAAAAATTAGAACATTCTTGATTGGAATGCCTTACTCAAAAATGTTTCACTTATTGGTACGCTAAACAGTGTTCAAGGATTAATTTTAAGTGGCATTGAAATTATTTCAAACATACATTATCTTTTTTATTAGGGTCTCCCCCTTGTTTCAATAGATATCTGACAATGTCAGCCAATTGCGATTCAGTTGCCCAAATGATAGGTGTCCATCCTCCGTCATCCTGAAAAAAATTATTTTTAATATCAGCAAAACCCAAATTTGACCTCTGTAAGAATGACTATCAAGCTAACTGTATTATGATTTAAAGTAAAATAATGATAAAAAAGAAAACCACTAGTTAAACATAGAAAATTATATCTAAGAGCGTTCAAGTATTATGAAGGTAGGTAATAAACAAGTCATGATGAAACAAAAGAAGTTTGATGCAAAAAAATATCCAGTGTAGTTACCTCCCCTAAATTTACTTCTAGATGAAGGACATTTGAATGTTAACAGTAAATGTGATTAAATCAATTTTTAAAGTTATTTAAAAAAAAAATTTAAAAAAAAAAAAATTGCATACGACTCTTGCATCAAAATTGCTAATTACCCATTGTTAATATATTTTTGCTCATTTAATAGTTAATTATACAAACATGTACCTGTATATTAATATCCAGTTTATCTGCTTCTAAAATGTGTTGGATAATATCAATATAGCCTGCCTTTGCTGCATAGTGTAGACTTGTCATACCATCTTCTCCCTAACAATCAGAACAGAGAATAAAATGTTATACCAACTTATTATGGCAAAATTCAAACATTCTAGAAACATTATTAAGATTAAACAGTGTAATAACTCACCCTATCTTCAACTTTAGCTCCAGCTTTTATAAGAAACTGAACAACATTAAGATTTCCATTTTCAGCTGCACACATCATAGGCGTTCGTAAAGTTCTATCTTGGGCATGGATCTCAGCACCATACTAGACATAAAAATTATTTTTCAATGGAAAACATTAGGGGTGTTAATTTATAGTAGTGTTTATGTGCCTCTGGTGCTTTTATTAGAAAAAGTTCACTGAACAATATTACCTTTGCCTAACAAAATGTGTATAATCAACCACTACTTAATGCTAGTCATTAACATAAAAAATAGTTTGGCCAACGTAAAGTCATAAATGTTTTCAGAGGGTAAAAACAGTCACAATGTATGATGTATTATGGAACTCCCTGAATTTATACTCTAGCACCAGCATGAGACACAAAGGACAGAAAAATCCAATATGGCACTTTGTGATGCATACCTATAGTCAACAACCTTTAATGATGCAGGGACAGTCTAACAATTGGTGTTAAGAAATAAGAGTGAAAATATTTTTTAAAAAAAACCAACAACGTTCTCCTAATTAAAAAAAAATAGTTCATGTATTCAAATTAATATATTAAAGAAGGTTAAACAGTTTTAAATATTAAGTTACAACTCACTCATCCATACTTTCAACTGTTATATAATTAGTTAAAAAAGTAATCACCTGTTCAAGAATAAACACTGTAGCAAGACTTCCAGAGATTGCTGCGGCATGCATTGCTGTCTGATCATCATGATCTTCATAACGCTTATTGGGATCCACACCATCCACTGCAATATTTAAAGTCTTTTTTTATAAGTGTGAACATGGTTCATTCTAAGGTTAAACACGTACAGCTTAATCACTGAAAGACTGAGCTTTGAATTATTGCACAATTTTATCTTTTCAAAAATATTATTATAAATTTTTCAAATTTTGTACACAAGAAAGTTAAATATAATTTAGCTATAGTTAAAAAAAAACTTACTCAATAAATAGAAAACTTTTTCCAAATCTCCTTCCATTGCTGGGGTGTACAAGTCTTTAGGTAAAGTTCTGTATTTTTTAGGCCTGTAATGAAAACGTACAAAAATGCTTTTTGACTTAAAACAATTTTTACTATGTAGATTAAAGTTGAAAATATTTGATGTGAACAATTCAATTATTTCGCAAATATATATACACAAGTGACACAGAAAAATTACTTAACTATGTGAGCCCAGTTCAGGTACATTAAAAATATGTAGTTTAATAGTTTAGAAGAAAATATTTTCCTTACATAATTCTACACTAATTTTAGAGTTTAAAAACAATGTGTTTCATAAAAGAAAAAAGTACCTGTCTTCTGCAGTGCAACGACAAAGTTTGGAAAGAGCTTGATGGTCAGGTCCCAATGGTAAAGATCCTGTAAGGATAATGTTAAATTTTTGTAATTGTTTGATTTTTAAATGCAGATATAAACCAGCTGTGGTTCAAAATAATTAAATGTACTAGCCATAAATATACAAAAACTAACTTACCGATGTTGATTACTTTATTGTTTGAAAGAGAAATTGTCTCCTTAGGCTGTTCATTAGTAGACTTACTCTTCACAAAATTTCTAAAACCAAGTCTAGCAGTCTTTCGTCTAGAGAAAAAAAACATTATATAATAAACCTAACAATTATTTTATTAAACTGAATAAAAAATATCTCCATAACCTACTTACTCTGTATCCCTCTTGGTCACTCTCTGTGGTATGACCTTCCCTTCCTCTGGTTTCTGATCATTCAGCTTTAGTTCCACCTCACACTGAGTTGTCTCTTCCCCACAGTGGGGGCAGTAATATTTACCACTTCTATAAAACATGCACTGTTTGTGAAAATTGTGAACTGATGATTTGCCTTCCTTCCTGCATTGTTGAAATTTACCCTAAAATAAGAATTAAATAAAATCAATGGCACTCCTATAATTTGATTGATAAAATAGTATTATCTGTATCTTTAAAAAAATAATGTTTATTTGTTCTCATGAAAGACAATAGTATAAAAGTTAAGAGGTAATATTTAGGTTATGAAAACCCAAGGATGAATAAAGTTGCTGCAAGATTGTTTAATAACTGATGTTTAAAAAAAAAATGTCAAAGAAGTTTACCTGTGAACAGAAGTGTCCACAGCCTGGACAGCACTGATGGAGCTTAAGTCGCCTGCGATGTACCTCACACACTGCCATGAATGGAATCTTGACACCAGGTCTCACTAGCTGAGTATTGGTTACTTTATTGCAGCACCCTAAAACCTGACACAAACAATAACAAGACATAAAATATAATCAAAATACAAAGTAAACTAAAGATTCAATATCCACTAGCTTGAATGATATAATTTTACTTAAAATATTAAAAGTAAAACATACCTTATTATCAACTGTGTCTAATGCTTGACAGTATGTGACACCAGAGAAAAGTTTATTAAACGAAGCCCCATTTATTTTACAGCAACATAAAGGAATGACTTCACTGTCTTCAACCTGACCAGCTACTGGCTGTATTTCAAAAGAAATTTTTTTAAAAATATTTTTATCCCTCAGCATCCACAATAATTTAACAAAAAACACTTGTAAGTATTAGTGTTGTGTGTAATAAATCCGACATGAACCAGGAAAATAATCTGTGTACATACATTTTGAAAATGAGAAAGAAATTACAGCTGTTTTGTTTATAAATGAGGAATTAGTTATTATTTAACATTAGATCACTACTAGGCATGCTGCCCAGCTTCGCTTAGGCTTTCGAAAACATTGAGAATTTGAATGCTTAATTAATTCGCCCGAGGGTCGGTCTACGACCTCAAGAGTTATGAAGAGGTTCCTCCGTGGACATTTTTTTTCGATTTATAGCTCATATAAGGTACCGGTCAGTCGAGGTCAGTTTTGACCCCTTCATCGTAGACTTTTCGGCCAACCGGCCCCCGTGCTCTGTCGCCCCAAGGCAAGATCATGCCAAATTTGAAGCGCCTGCGGCGCCGGGAAGTGCCATATCTGACACCCAACAATCTAGATCTAGATCTAGAATCCTAATTGAATTTTTTTTTTTAAGTTTAGTCCGAGCAAAATTTTAAAAAAAATACATTAACCAAGTTGACTTGGTGGGTCTCGAACCCGCACCACCTGCGTGGTTTATAGTACACTCACATCTCCGCTATTTAGGCACCTTATAAAATACAGAGAATGAAAAACGTATTTTAAAATCTTAACTTACGCGAATATGCCTATTCTATCAAATTAATTTTTTTTATCCCAAATTAGCCAGTTCCAAACAAAGATTTTGTATAAATAAATGTTATGAGTTTAGGCCGGAAAAATTGTATTGTATACATTTCATAGTGTACGTAGATCTAAATCAAATTTGAATGAAATAGTTCATTTCTTTTTTATTCTAAACACGGCAGATGACGTCATTAGTAAGCAATAGTGTCGTCACAGTTTTATGCGTTCTTTTACACATCTATTAATGCTTTTCCGGTTGCATAAATAATACTGTTTCTCTATATTCGAATACGCCTTGATTTTTTATTTTTCTTCTTGAAATAAAATTGTGGTTATACATTTAAAACATCTAACATATTATTTTCAACAAAAGTCCGTATAAAGTTCTCCATATATCGCTGCCGTTTCTGACGTGATGTCCGGCGAAAATTTTTTGCGGACAGAGAGAGAGAGAGAGAGAGAGAGATGTGCGAACGTGGCCCATTATAGTATTAGATTACAATAAGGAATATAAAATGCTTAAAATTATACTGATATATTAATTGAAGCTAGTACTGTGAAAAGTAGAGAAGGAATACCAACCCGGCTTAGAGATGCTGCAACCACCACTTCTGATGAGCTGTCTGTTTCTGGTGTCTTTGGCGGGGTTAAGCAGGAAACACCGTTTGGCAGGTTGGATGGATGCGATTTAATTAAAGAGTAACTGGTCTTGGACCCAGCAACAGCTGAAGCAGGCTTGAGCATGGAGTTACCCACACTTGAAGAGGAAGGAGTCAGTGTTAAAGGCTGTGCTGATATGGGGACTAGGCTGGCTCCAGATGTGGTTACCATCTGAAACAGCATGGGCGATGTTGCCAGCTGTGTGGCACTAGCTGAGGAGACCCTGGCTAAAGTGTATGGTTTCCCAACCAGGAGAGCTCTCAGTGAGTCTGAGCTAGTATGACTAGGGGATAAAGATGTTTTGGCAGATTTCCCAGATGGTGATGATGGCACTGAGCCACCTCTAGCAGTCTTATGTGTGGCATGCACTTGTTTTGGAGAATTGACACTCATCTGACCAGGTGAAAAAGAAACAGGGATAGCTGTTACGGCTGGAACAGGTGCAAAAAATGTCATCGCCTGTTGGGTTCCCTGAGGGAGTGAGGCCAAGGGCACTGCCACACCTGGAGGTAGGTTAGCTATACTGATTGCCTTTGCCCCCATTGGTAGCGTGGAGATGAGTGGAATAGTATTGAGCAAATTGCTGGCTGGGGGTTGAACACTTTTGGATGACATGGCAGGTGCCTGGCGAGGAAGTAATGACCGCAAGCCAGGTGCCACTGAGTGCTGAGCGACCACCATGACTACTGGGGACTGTGAAGTGGAGCTAACATTCTTATTCTTTGTATGCTGAGATGGCTTGTGAGGTGATGGGCTTGATGCTTGTGAAACTTCATCTAGAGATTCCCGTTTCCTCTTTCCTGAAACGGATAAATTTTTCCTTATTTTAAATTGATAATTTTTTTTTAAACTTTTCTTTTAGGAAAGCTCTTAAAACTTTAAATAATGAAATTATTTCATTCAATAGCTAATCAGAAGAAAATAAGAATTCTAAAAAGAAATAAATTTTGAAAAAATAACAATACATAATTACAGTTGTGATAACTTCTGCATAGGTTTTTGCATTGTGTTATGTTACTATCAAGAATATTATTTATAGAGGCTACTATTAGCCTGAAGATGAGCATAAAAAGTAATTCAAATGAAAAAGATCAAGTTATAACTTGTCACAATTATTTTAATATGGAAAAAAAATTCTACTGCATGTATTGAACACATGCATAAGTGTTGACACTTTTCATGTTCTAGAAGTTGAAGAAATATGTTATAAACAATTATAATACTTCATGCGGTATGTGTGAAATTTATACTGGCAAAACTATATGCAAAAAAAAAAGAAAATTAAGCAAATGAGTATGGCAATATACAATATGTGAAAAATGTGAGTAAATAAGTATATGGATAGATACATAGAAAACAAGCAGTAATCCACTAGTGATATCAAGCAGACGCATTAGCATAAATTAAAAGTTGAATGTTTTTAACTCCAGTTTACCAAAAACACCAGTAACTGATGTTCATTCATGTAGGATCACAAGTCAAATAAAAATAAGTAAAATAAATGTTCACATCTATGCAATACATAATAGAACTTGTCATGTAAGAAAAAAGTAAAATTTAAAGCCATCTCATTCAGAATTAACTTTTAAAATTAAGGGCATTCAGATAACATAGTAAATTAAATTAGTTTTGTTTCTATATAGTAATGATTATGTCAAAATTAGATCATACTAAAACTGGATTGTCAAGCCTTTATTCTTAGACAAACTTTGATGATTGAAATTGAGAGCTCAGATATAAAATGAACTGTATCAAATTACCAGGCTGTTTTGAAAAACATTACTGTACAGAGAAACTTTTCTGTAAAATGCTTTTCTGTCCATGCTTACAACTGTGTCCATTTAACTAGTTATTTCCTTATTCCTAACACTCAAAAAACTAAACCTTAAATTTAACACTATGTTGTGTTTAAAGCTAAGACAACAGTATCAAAAGTGAGTGTGTAATTAATGCAAATGCAACAATTCATATACAGCTGTTTGTGGACCATAACTACTATTTAATGCAAAAATATTAAAGGCAGTTATATAAATTTATACAAAACCAAACTGACATCAAATATATGAAAAAACCTGATTTAGCTACCATATTAAAAAGCTCAGTGTTACTAGTTAGTTCCGTAACTACTAACAAGCCTGGAAATTTAGTAAATTATGTTTACATTTTTAAGGTATTACAACTGAAATATAAGATGTTTATTTATGTTGCAGTTCCTTCAGTGATCTAGCAAGAGTATTAGCATGCCAGAAGTTTAGCCTGAGTATATAAGTAGTTCAGATTATTACCTTCAACTAATGAATTTTTCTTTGCATCACTGTCATCTGAATCAGACAGACAAATAACTTCCTCTACAACAAACAAAAACAAAATGCCTTTTGTGTAACTAACTTAGAATATAGGTAATACTTGAATAATAAGTAAGAGATCTATTGCAACTGCTTCAACAAATCACCGACAGGAATTACATTGATAAAGGAAACTACATTCCACAAAGTTCTATTATTATTTTTAACAACTTATATTTAAAAAGCAGTTTGTGAGGATGATTTAAAATTGAAATATTATATTGTGATGTGTGAGATATTTTAAATATATTAATTAATAACAATCAAAGCTCCACAACACAGAAAAACAATTTAAGATCATGGAAAATAATTTACCCTTCAAGAAATTAAGGTGCTTTTTTTTTTTAAAACCACTATCATGCATACAGAGAACTTGATAAAACACATTTAACTTTGAAAACATAAAAAGCTAAATTTTGATAAAGCAATGTAGAATGATGTAACTTTTTTTTAAAAACTTCAGTTAAAGCTAAGGGATTACTTATCATAATGTGTGGACAAATTGCTCCAAGTCTTATAAACAGAATCATATCACTCAGCCAAACAACAATATTCAATGGGAAATTGTGATATGATGGGAAACATACAACACAATATAAAAATAACCCGAGCCCTAGTGTAGCCAGTTGTTTTTATCCCAAAATTAAATAGAATAAGATTGTACCTCTGCGTTTCCTTGGCGTTCCTTTTCTTTTTAAACCTAAAAGTATTTTTAAAAATGTTTAATAATGAGGCAAAATTCACAATAAATCTTAAGCTATAAAAAAGTAAATACTTAAAAAAAAAAAAGTATAAATGAGCAATTGTTAAGAGCAGAAAACAATAAAATGTATGCTATACTAAACAAAGAAAAGCAATAATGGTACATACCTTCTACAACAGGTTTATTGTGGGGTGGAGAAACAAGCTGGGAAATAGATTGGAATGTTGTATTAGCAGCATAATGATAACAGATAATGGTCAAAATGTTATCAATTGAACAACTCAAGCAATTTCAAATTACAAGTATATAATTCAATTTTATAATTAATAAAGAATGACATGCTTAGAGGTGATAAGTAAGAACATTCATTTATTAGAGTTCCTCTAAGAATAACAACTATAAAAATACTTACAATAGTCGTTGTGGTCGTAGTCGAATTAGAAGTCACACTAAGAGTTGTAAGCGTTGTTGAAGCTGCCTTTTTTTCTTCTGATTCTGCTTTTTGTCTGCTTCTTTCATGAAGCATTTCTAAGACAGTTCTTATTTTGTTGCTTTTCCCAGATGTGGGCTTTGAAGATGTGGATGAAGACAATGATGATGGTGAAATTGAAGATTTAGGCTTTTTGGTAAAACCTAAATAGGCATTTTTGGTTAGAATATCTAGAGCTGATTCAGGTTTCTTTGGTAGAGAAGAGCTCTCATTATCCTGAAAGCTAGCTTCTTTATTTACATCAGTGTCTGGAAAATCTCCATCAGATAGAGAAAAACTGTCTGCTGAGGAGCCTACGCTCTCCATCTCATCTGATTTCAACTTTCTAGGCTTTTTCTTACACCCTGGGAAGTCGTACGTTTTCTTTCTCCTCTTCTTTTTTAAACCTGCAATGTTTTTTAAGGCACTGTTTTCTGAACTGCAGTCCAGTGGCGTAGTGTCTGTGGATGTGTAGTTTGTTTTGGAGCTCTCTGTGCTTTTCAGTTTGGAACTCTCTAGATCCCGAGCAGGATTGAAATCTAAGGCCTTTTCTACTTCTGACAATGTCATTGTAATGTTTTTGATAGGGTGTAGGTTTATTTTTAAGGGAACAGACTCGGGTTTGCCTGACTTTCTAGCGGTGACCTTTGGTTTTTTAACCTGAGGAGCTCCAGCTGTCCCATTCACTGCTTTAGAATCAGACAGTTGTATAACTTTACCTTCTCTTTCTTTGACGTCAGGACAGTTTTCTTGTATCACAGCATCAGTTGTTCCAAGCACTTCTTTACCACTCACATCCTCTTTTACTGATGTTTCAGAATTTGATACAAGTGTATCAGTAGATTTAACATCAGACACAGCCACAGATGAAGTTCCCATATTTTCAACACTGCTTTGGTTTATGTTTTCCAAAATCTTACTTTTAACAATATTGTTATCAAGCACAAGAACATCTTTGTCTGTTTCAGCGTTGGGGGAAAATTCAAACTTTTCTTTATCACTACTGCAGCCACTTTTCGATAGTTCTAAAGGCTCAATTAAATCATCAAGTTCCAATTCAATATTTTCCAAAGATTCATCATTTTCTGAATCTTCATCTTCAGTAATGTCCTCAAACATTGGAGTTGGAATGATTTCAGGTTTATCTGCAGTTTCATGTTTCTCCGTAGAAGTTTCAACAATTTTATTACTAGCTGTCAATAAATTGTTTGTGTCCTCTGTGTTTTTGTCTTTTGTTTCATTTATTGGACTAACTTTGCCATCTAACACAGGTGCCTCAGTTTGTCTTAGTTCTTTAGTAGAATCTACTTTGACAACAGGTGCATCCCCTGAACAATCCATTGCATTTTTTGAAGATGATTCTGTGGTAGGTACATTCTGAGTAGCATTTGTTAAATCAGTATTAGTTAACTCTTTATTGTTCAGTTTCTCTACAGACGATTCCTCATTTTTGTTTTCTGTAATAAAGCTGGTCCCCTCTATAGGCAGTTTTGCTACAATTTCACTATTTTCGATATTTTCTTCTTTGGATACAGGCTTCTCTTTACATTTCTGAAGACCATTTTCAGCTAAGTCTACAGTGTCACTACTTGAAGCTGGTGAAATGGGACTCAGCTGGGGCGGTGAGTTCTCTTTGGATACGGCACAGTCCTGGTCAGCAGGTTTTGATTCTTCCTCTTCTGAGTCTTTACCATTGTAACAAGGTTTACCTTCTAGTAGTGGCAAATCTTTTGTATCATTTACCTGACCCTTTAACTTCATCACCAAACCATCTGGCTGGGATGACTCCATACCTGAAAAAATAGTTATGTACCAGTAATACTAACAGTTCCAAACTATAAAAATTTAGAAAAAATACTATAAATCATTTTTAAAAGGGTGGTTTAATGGTCAATTACTTTGAATTTGAATCAATAGTATTTTAAAGCATGGGTACAAAATACATTTGCTTTGGGCATAGTTCTGTGCTGTTAATCTTTTAAACAGAAATTTTTAAAAATTAAATAGGGTTTTTAAAAAAAACAGAAATTTTTAAAAATTAAATAGGGTTTTTTAATACTTTTATCTATATATTTAAGCACAGAGATTTATTAGGCTACATTTTTATTTTAGATTTACAGTCTACATACTCTATTTACTAGATCTAGATTTTGTTTGAATTTAGAAATAATTCCTGTTAGTTTTATATCCAGATAAAGTTAGATCCTAGATCGTGAATCGGGGTATTGATATTATCGATTTCTAACTATAGACTATTCAGCTAACAGGTGTTAGTAGTATTGTATTTTTAATGTCAGAAATTATGGTTAGAGCTATCGTAGGACTTGGCAGTCTAAAGCACAGGTTCCCAAACTTATTTTAGGAGATGACACCTCTTTTATATTACTTAAGTTACCGTGACAGCCCCCCCCCCCCCCATTGAAAAAAGAATTTTTTTTAGCAAAGGAAAAAACAATGAAAATTAAGGCTTTAGAATTGTTTTATTGTTTAACCTCGTCATTCTTAACATTTCATTTATTTAGTTGTTTTTTTTCTATGGAAGAAGAGTTTTTTTTCTTCAGATTTTCATTTATTTTACTTGCAGTTGTTGTACAGTTTTTTCCAGCATGACAACACCCCCCCACCCCCCTTTAAAGAAAAACATCTTATTTTTTCAAGTGCAGTTTAGAAAAGTAGAACTCGTGACCAGAATCCAAGCTTTTGTGCTGTATTCTTTAAATAGAATGGGACAGTGGTTGGATGATAAAGGGTATGATTGCTAACATGAAAGTTATCTGCCCCATGAACTGCCACGAGAAACAATGCTGTGCTGTCTAGCTGAGAAAACTTTCAGTTAGGTAAAGTCTCTGATGTTGACAACAAGTTGTATGGCAACGAAAGAAGTAGAATAATTTTCAGTCTATTAGATCTATAAATTGAAGTCTAAATTACATGTCTTTACGCAGCAATTGTGTTTGTAATAATAATATATTGTATTATATAATTAAAAATAAATTTAATAAAGGCAGGGTTCATTGAGTCATGACTGAGTTATACACAGTTTGGGAACCTGTGGTCTGAAGTCTAGAGATTTAGACTGCTAGAGTCAAGATCTCTATATTTAGAATCTAGATTCTTGCTAATCTAGATCTAGGTCTTAGAAGACTTTACTTTATTGCAATCATTAGGTCTCATTAGGTGAGCGATTTGAGTAGCGCAGAGTCTACCTCGATCAATGATTGCCAGGTGTGTAAAATTAATTTGACAGCGCGAATGATTTTCTTAGCCCATTAACACGAAGTTAGAGATGTGACAGTAGTATAACTTAAAAAATGTAGAAATCTAGACCCCGAGTTAAATTTTTAAGGGAGTAAATAATTCTTGACTATGGTTTTGATTTATTCTTTCCGGAAATTAACCATCAACCGGTGGCAGTGCCTCGAAATGGGCAATATTCCTCCGTTTTCATTCGCCAGCTTTTTGACGTCCTTGTTGGTATCCAATTTAATGACCGAATGCTCAAAATATGTGCAAAAACATGCATAGATACGCCCATAAAAATATTTTAAAGTAGCCAAAGAATTCAAAACATACCGAATTACGAGCATTAAGCGCGAAGCTTGTCTAATATCAGCCAAACACTCACGCTTCAGATGGCTCAAAAGACCATGGACGCCGCCATCTAAGAGGGACAATTGTATTGCGCATGCGTCCAGCGACCCAGTTTTTATCCCAGTTCCTTCGTCTATAAATGAATTACATAGATCTAGATCTAGACTAGATTCTCTGTCTCAGCCATGCATTCATTGTCTGACCCTTGGAATCAAACTGTTTTCTTAAAATCGGGAATAATATAATTGACTTATAGATAAAACATTAAGAAAGAGCGTTTTATTCACATTGTCATGGAATCGTTTGCATGTCCAATAGACGTTTTAGAAATTCACTATATTAAATGCAATCACTTGTGCGTGGATTAAGGATTGCTGTGTATTCCCCCCCTCCCCCCATTTTTTTTCTATCGTTTTGATAATCAAGTAATGGGGTCTATACATAATTACTGAATAGGCGTTGAATAAATAATAACCAGCTCGCGGTAAGCACAATAATAGCAAGTCTTTTACATCTACCATTAGACATGAAATACAACTAAAATGCGGTCAAGGTTTCTCTAACGGGACCCCCCCCCCCCCGATATACACACTTAGACATTCATACACACATCCTCCTATGGATCCATTGTTGAGTGTTGGAAAATGTATTTTGATTTTTATCAAATTAACTGGTTAACGGTTGCAAAGTTCCATAATCAAAACTTAGAAAATGTCGACATATCTATGGAACAATCTAAGCTTCTAATCAGACTTGAGCCAAACCAGGTTTTGACCTACATATGAACTCAAAAGCTTCTGGTTTAGCAATGACGCTCTCTACTGTATTATGATCATTATTATATGCAGTGACTGACAATCAACATCTGTCATTATTTGTTAGGCAGTGTTGGATTGGGCCACCGGGACAAATCCCGGTAGGCCCAAAGAACCAGTACTAATATGTCGAATAGATGCTTTGATATATTTTTGAAAATTATTTGCGCAAATTATCCCCCCCCCCGTGCCACTTTGACATAGCAAATCTACCACTGTTTAATGATGGCTGGATGTGTCTTCTGCCAAATCTTGAACTCTTCCTTGTGTATGGTAAATTTGGATCTGGGTTGGGAATCCTAGGCAAAGTTCATAGGCTAGGCTAGGTGTTTGTTGCGAGTCAAGCTTTTATTGATCTATTTAATGTAGGCCTAAATCAGGTCTAAAATCATCACGGACCCGTTTGCACTAATCTTCCTGAGTCAATGTAGACTAGCGTAAACATGGTTTATTTCTTACGTTTATATAGAACAGTCATCAGTTACAAATATTAATCGGATTATCTGCCCGGCTTAACGCCCAGCCGTTAGTTAGTGTCTGTTGTCTTGTTTTAGATAGTGATCCGAGATGGTTTTGTCAGAACCAACATCGTACACACACAAAAACCCAGCTTAGAACTTCTGCCTCAGCAAATTCAAAATGGAGGGAAATGGTGGAGACCCTATGTTCCTTAAGGAGCAAAGAGGACTAGATCTAGATCTAAATCAAGTCAAATTAATCAGACGGCGTTCATCCTGTGTTTCTTCCAGACTTTTTTCTCCGGGGGGGGGGGGGGGTCGGACACTAGTAAAAGTGTACGTTTACTATATAAATTTCATCTAGTTCAGGGGGGGGGGGGTAGACTTTCTTCGCCCCCCCCCCCCCCCCCCCCCCCGAAGAGATGCCTGGAAGAAACTCTGCTTTCATATTACCAACTCTGTGCTGTCTATTCTAAGTTTCAATGAAACAGCCCTAATGGGACAATGTTACCAGGCTACCAAAACGAAGTTCAGTTTAACAAAATTCCAGGCAATAATACACTATCTATTCCAAATAGGTGTTGGCCTACATTTTTTTGCACGCTTTTACTTTTAACTGTCAATCGTTAATGGTGGGGTTTTTTTTTTTCAATTTATCGTTATTTGGAGTCCGTGTTTCTTCCAGACTTTTTCTCCGGGGGGGGGGGGGGGGGGGGCGGACACTAGTAAAAGTATATTTTTACTATATAAATTCCATTTCGTTCGGGGGGAGGGGTAGACTTTCTTCGGGGGCGGAGCCCCCCCCCCCCCCTCGAAGAGATGCCTGGAAGAAACTCTGTTCGGAGTCAATATGTTCAGATATGATGCGGACTCGATTAGACTTATGACGGCTACGTTTGCAGCTATTTCAAATGTAGATGACTAAGACTTCTCTATGCGTGTAGATCTAGATCTAGTATGTTACATACCAGCAGCGGTGGTCGGGTAGAGGTTTGTGGTGTCTAAGAATGTGAAAGTGGGTGGGGTAGAATGAAGTTCTCACGCAAATTTGACGTCGTTACCATTTCTTTGTGTAAATTTTTCAGCAGCACCAAACGCCTGAAAGCTCAGCTATGTAGTTCTGCACTCTAAAGATTAATTGTGTGGTTAGATAGCGCGGACATTTGACGCGAAATGATTCTAAAGATTAATATTTTTGTTAGGTAGCACGGGGTCTTTGACGCTAAGTGTCAGGCCCTCTAAAGATTAATGGTGTGGTCAGTGGCGTAGCGAGGTCGGGTGTCACCCGGTGCGGCACTTAATGGTGTCACCCGACCCTTTCCGGGGACAAACTTTCAATTTTCGATTTGCACCCCCCCCCCTTAAACTTTCGATTTGCACCTCTTGTCACCCGGTGCGGTCAGCCCCCCCCCCCCCCCCCCCCCCATGGTCATTAGCCTCAAAATGCTATGTCTTCTAAAGATTAAAATGTTGTTGTTAGGTATTTACGCATTGCTAGGCCCTCAAAGGATTATTGCTGAAGCTAAGTAGCACGGGCATTAGATGTAGGCCTATCTTGTGTTTGGTCCTCTAAAACTTAATGTTATGGCTAAGCAAGGGCATTTGACGCGAAGTGCTAGGCACTCAAGAGGTTAACACTGTAGCTTTCATCACAGCAGAACTACATTATTAAAATCTAAGAACTCGGCTGTTTGCTTAACAGGAAACCGATTTCAAACCAAAAAAAAAGAAAAAAAAAAGAGCACATTTACTGACCCAATTTGGGCCTAGTTCTTGAGTGATAGACAGCCAGTTTGCCTGCTTTATCCACATCTGTGCGGCGTCTAAACGGTCAATGACAAAACGGCCCCGACATAAGAGTTCCGTCAAATCGACCCCGTCAAAAGGACCAGCGACAAATGGACCCCGTGATATAGGCTCTCGAAAAGGGGCTCCAGTCAATAAGACTGCCGACAAATAAGCTCCCGTAATTTAGTCTCCCGACATATAAACTCCCTTCCATTTGGCTCTCGACAAAAACGGCTCCCGTTGTTACAACTCCCGCCAAATAGGCTCCCGTCATTTTGTCTCCTGACAAAACAGCCCCGTCTTTATGACTCACGACATATAGGCCCATGTCATTTTGGCTAGGGGAGGTAGGACTAAATGGTTACATTTAAGCCAATAGTGGTCATTCGATTCATTTGTCGGGAAATAATATGACGGGAGCCCATTTGACTAGAGCCAATATGTCGGGGCCGTTTTGACGGGGGCTATCTTGACTGGGTCGTTTAGTCGAGGGTTGATTTGACGGGGTCATATTGACGGTGCATCATCCGAATCATTTGGTCTTCAGCTCTTTGGTAGGGAACCTTTTTGACGGCGCTCACCCACTTAATGCGGGCTCTAATGACGGAGAAAATTGTCAAGATTTTGTGAGTGGATATTTGACCAGATCCTTTTGACCAAAAGCAGTATTGTCGAGAGTCGTTTAAATGGGGCCGAATGTCATGGGCCAATTTTGACATAGCTAGTTTTTTTTTTTTTTTTTTTTTTTTTTTTTTTTGTAAATTCAAGTTTTAAAAAGAAAAAACACTATTTTTTTTTAACATTTAGGAATAGTTTAAAGAAGTGAAACTATTGATACTCTAGGGAGCAGGCAACGACGTGGAATGACGCTTATAAAATAAACCTTAATTTACATTCTTGAAGTTTACTTTTCAGTAATGGTTTAATATAATTGAAGTTGTACGAATAGTTAAGAAGTAAGTGGTGTCAAAACGTCAGTAAACATGCTTATGTTGTTGGTTTTTTTTTTTAATATTTAAGAATAAAGAACCCATGAAGTTGATTTCTCCAATAAAATCTAATTTCTCCAATAAAATATATCTCGACAATGAGTGTGTTATTTGTCTCCCTTATTTTAAGGACATGGGTTGTCTCCCTTTTACATAAAAATTAATCATCATCATCGTCTTCTCCCGTTTGTGCCCAAGACACATACGGGCAGATGAAGTAGAGTTCATCTGTTTCAGTGACCTCGGTATGTGAAGGGATAGTGTAGTCAGCACTATGCCTAGCCGCCTTTGCTCTTGCTTGCATAAATATATTTTTTGTTCTAATTGCCCCGTTAAATAATTTATATTCAAGAAAAAAAAAAGAAGTGGAAATTTATTTTTACAAGGTCACAGATGAAACAGAAGAAAATTATAGTGACTAGATTAATTAGCAAATCTGTAAGCATGAACATATGATTAAATAGATTTCAAATACAAAAATCTACTATTTTATACATAACTCTAGTTTCAAATAAATGACAATACATTGTTGTTATGTATACATGTTATGATAAAAGAATAAACATAATTGAACAAAAAAATTGAAATCTTGTCTTTAAATATTAATTTGTTATTAATAACTATGTACATTTAACTAGTAAATCATAAGCTATTTTATCATGATAAATAGAAAACAACGTGATAAAAATACTGTAATTAGTTTAAATCAACACTAAACATTAGATCAGACTGAGAAACAAAATCTATTTATATATATGTGTATTTAGAACTACAAGCCTAATTTAATGTTGAAATAATTACGCTATTTTATTTTACATATTAAAGAGCTAACAAAATTTTGGTTTTAGCTCTATGCTTAAATAAAATTTAAAAAAAAAATGTCTTTATGCAGACTAAAGCAAAAATTTGAACTGACTTCTCAAGATCTTAAATATAAAAATATAATTACATACAGAGTAGGAGAGACAAATGAGGGGTCAGTTTAAAATAGTACAAAAAAAACACACAAAAAGTGTGGAGGTGACCATAAATAAATTAAATGAGATCTAAAGCAAGCTGACTTATATTTTATCTCCGAGTTGATTACATTTTGATTGAACTGCGGGTGAGAATCAGTATTTCCAATCATTTAGTGCAGCCATTTTTTTTAATCAAATAAACTAAGTGTTATCAAATAATGTAGTGACAAAATATATTTTCTATTTAAAAAAAAAATAGTGTTTTAAAATTTTTTTTAAAGTGAGTTTTAATAAAGCAAACTATATTCCCTGAAAAATCCACAAAGAAACATATTACAAAACGTAAACATGAACTTAATTTGATGCTGGTAGAATTTATGTAAATGACAACAAATTTCAACCAAAAATAAACTGAACATTAAACCTTACAAAAATAATGTAAGAAGCACTCAACAATGTAGCGTATGTCATATTTTTCTAAGGACACTAAAAAGAGAATTTCCAGGAAAATGGTTGCAAAGGAAGTAGAGTTCATCTGTTTCTGTAACCTTGGCATATGAAGGGACAGTGGTCAGCACTAAGCCAAGCAACTGTTGCTTTCCCTAATGTGAGTCAAGTACCCATTAGAACTGGGTGGACTCAAGAACCAGTGGCGTAGCCAGTATCATCTCAAGGGGGGGGGGGTTTTCCAATTTTTACCCCGGGACAAATTTTCGATGCAACCCCCCCTTCAAACTTTTAATTTGCACCCCCTCCTCAAACTTTCGTTTCCCCCCCCTCTCATACTTTATATATATACCGCATTAACTGGCTACTAAAAAAACAATTTTATTGAACCCTTTAAAAATTCTTACAGTAAACCTTACAGGTTGATTTTGTTTGTTTTATAAAAATAGAAATGCTTGAAAAAGTAGACCCATTTACACATCTAAAAATAATTTCTCATTGTTTTTTTTTACTGATTCAAATTTTATTTTGTAGATATTTTTGTTTAAGCGCTATATAAAATACAAAAGAAGTGATCGGTTTGAAAATTAGACTCAATTATTTTTAAAATGTATGCACTCTTAATCAAGTTAAGTTATGGTAAATTATTGAAAAAATTAACCTGTGAATATATAATGAAAATTAATCAAGTCTAAAATAATTAATAAATGACATGGAATAAAGGTTTTTGTTTTCAATAATTAGAATAATACGTCATAACAGCTTTTAATACAGAACCTAAATCACAAGCTTGCTTATTAAATACTAATAAATAATAACATTAATTGGATAGAGTGAGCTAAATAAATTATGCAGATCATTAACTTCCAACTAAACAGCAACTTATAAAGGACGGCAAGTGAAAATGTAAAATAATGTGAAGCATTGAGCACATACAAAAAAAACACAACATGGATTGTAGAAATATAAATTATTTGTGATTTTAACAAATAACATTACTGCTTCTTAAGTGTTGTAATAAATTATGCGTACAAATAAAAATGATCGTACTTTGGTATACATTCGAGAGTGAGACTAAGTGAACAACACCATAACACATATGTATAAACTCATGTACGTATGCAAAGAAAATTAAGATGCATATAATAACACAGATGTTATGGTTAAGCTTATAAAATATATTAGTTGGACACTGAGCAGAAAAGAAATTGTTTAATAGGGTCTATAAGCTTTTTCTCAAATAAACTAGAAGAACAGGGAACTTGAATAATTTAACACCTATCCTAAACTTAAAATTAGATCAAAATGTGACTTATTATATTTAAACGTTGTGACGTATAAAAACATTACAAGTATTAGTCCAAAAATTATGGAAACAATAAACAATAAGAGAAGATGAAATTAGATTAAAATAATCTAAAACAGTGTCAGGATTATAGTAGTAGTGTTAGTATTAGTAGGCAGGTAAAGTTTAAGTAACTCAGACAAGATGCATAATAGTTATTTTTTTCATAATTCAACGGGATTATAAATATTTAAACAATAACTGAGGTTCAAAGATATCTCCAATAAAAGTGAATTTAAATAAATCAAAATTAAACTGGTGTTAAAAATACCTTCAAAACTAATAATTTTTTTTTCAAAAATAATAAAATGAAAGATTTTTAAACAATTTGTACATTGGTATACCTGACAATGATTTAATGAACACCTGTCCATTGGGTAAAAAGTTATATTTTGTTCTGTTATTCCAAAATTTACCTTCCTGTTTTTTAATTAAATTCACTTTAAACAAATCAAATAAAACTGTTTAAAAATTGAAAGTAGCACCAAAATCAAGAAGTTGTAGTAAAAAAAACACAGTACATAGAAATAAAAACCTAAATTTATGTTAACTCTTTTGGTTTGTAATACATTTATTTAAGGATTTATGTACATTTAAGTGATTTTGTCAATATGAACAAAATCAAATATCCAATAACAAGAAAGGGATTTGTTCAGTCAACCAAAACAAGCATATAATTTTCAATACAATATAGCTGTATTTGGTAAAGAACATCACATCTATAATACTAACAAAAATACTTTTTAATCACTGCGTAATACAAGATGCTTTTATCTTTAGAAAAGAAGCATTCTGAATAGCAATTCTCATTTAACTCAACAAATACATTACATAAAGCTTTAAAGATGAACATTATGCCATTGTTATTGATTGGGGAATAATCAGATGTCTTTTATAAGTCTTTACCACCATAGGTTATTATTATTTAAAATAAACATTATGAACACTGTTCCCTTTCTGAATGTTTAAGATGAAATGACACCATATATTGCATTACACATCTACAGTAATTCACTTTTTACAGAACAGCTCATACCAAAAACAACGTTTAGTGAATAACAATGTATTCAACATATAAAAAGTTGTTTATAGGTGTGTTAACATATTGATTACTTACAAACAATTGGTTTCAGAGCAAAACCTAACACATTTCTATGTGACAACCTGGGGCAAAAAATCTTAGATTATCTAACCTTAATAATAGAAATAGTGTGATCTTTTTCATTAAAAAAGCTTTTTTTAGATATTACAAAACTTGTAAGAGGTTTCTAAAAATTCAATGTTTTAGGGGAAAGATTCCATTATTTAAAAAACGGCTGTATCAAGCAAAGAAAAACATAAGCCAAAATGAGCTGCCATTTCACTTTTTATATACAGATACATAGATAAGGCTCAACACATAGAGAACTAGTTTCTATATTAATAAGTTTTTAGTATAAGCTGTTTTTTTTAACTTCAACTTCACAAGAGTTATCTAGTATCTTTTTCTTCTGTAGCAGTGTTATGATAGATTTCTGAATAATAGCTAATTCTGGAATTCAGAAAGTTAAGTATAAATGCACTATCCGCAATCGCTGTAGAAAACTAATGAAATTACATGGACAAGCATTCATGAAGGGTAGTCAAGAAAAAGTTCTGGCAATAGTATCACATAACAATTGTGTAGGTAGTCTACATTATAAAAGGTGGGCTTAGACTTGCGAAATTACTGCCTGTAATCTAGAACACAGATGTTTGACTATGTAACACAACATGTATAATACAAAGAGTTGCTATTGTTTCTGCCTCCATTCTTTTAGCATAATCGACACATTTTAATAATAAACTAGTTGCATCCTATGTTAAATTGTACATTTGAAAATAAAAATAAATAAATGATAAACCACATCTAGCATGATTGTTTACACTAAAGGATTGTGGGTAATCCCCAGCAAATGGCCGACTTGTCCGCACTACTGGTGACAAATGCAAACTGTGTGGGGTGCCACCTGCCTTGGATAACTTTGTCCTTGTGCTCTCCCACCAAGACACTGGGCAAAGGTCGCAACAGGTCACCTGTAAACATTCATAAACATGTCAACTATATATATATACATATATATATATATATATATATATATATATATATATATATATATATATATATATATATATACATACAAATATATATATATATATATATTTCCCCGCCACACAAGCAATGTAGTAGTGGAGTGCTGTGTGATTTCCCATTGGGGACCAGCTAGGGGTACAATGTAAGAAATGTTTTTAGACATTTACAATGAAAACATGGTTTCCAAACCCACAAAGATGGAATATGTGTCACATTCTCTTCCCTAGCCAATATGTCATATATCAAGTTGTCAAAATTTAGCATTTTGTATCAATAGTCCCATGTGTCCAAAGGGAGCACACCATTGAGTTGTAATTTACAGTTAGATGTAAATGTGGTGGTCATATTTATCCAGAATATATGAAACAAGGGGGACAACTTAAATTGGAATAGCAATATTTACAATAAAATGAAACTAAAGCAAACATTGCTAATCATAGTCATTTGAATGTTGTTAAACTAATGAAAATTTAATCAACAAATTAAAATTAACAAAATAAGTTATCAAAAATTGAATTTCTTTATAACTTCAAGTTAGAAAGCAACTATTATTAAAACAAAAAACATTAGCTTTTTTTCAAAGTAAGTTTGGGCAAAAGATTACTCTGATGTTTATTAATTGTTTTGTGGGTCTTGACCCTGCCATAGGATCTATGTGTATTTTTTTTTTAAATCTAGAACATTTAAAAATGATATCCAAATTGATTTTAAATAATTAGATCTATATCCAAATAAATTTATAAAACCAAAATAAAATGTATCTGGTTTTTTTTTATTTGGGTAAAAACTATAATAACTACCCACCAACAACGCCATCCCCTCATCTACAGCAGGGGTCTCCAAACTACGGCCCGCGGGCCTGATGCGGCCCGCGAGGTCCTCTCATCCGGCCCGCGGACATCTTTTTGTCCACGGAAAAAAACGTTAGTTGGAGTTGGCTGAGGAACTTGCTCAGAAAGTCACGACATGCCTGGAAGAAACTGGCCCCCGAACTGAAATTTGGTAGTTAATACGGCCCTCGGATTGAAAAGTTTGGAGACCCCTGATCTACAGCAATGGTTCTTCACACTAAGCTGGACCTTTTCACATCCAACACTTAAACTAACCCTCTCATTTATAATATCCAACAGCTCACAACCAATTATATCATATGAAGTAACAAAGTAATCCAAAACAAGGCTCACCATGGAGATCTGTGATGACTATCCTGTTGTCATATGCCACAGTTAACAGGTAGTAGGCATTGTTGGAGAACCTGGCAGACCGGCATTCACCTATGTGGGGCTGGAAACTTTGAACCACCTGGTCAAAAAAATCAAGGTAATATTAGAAACCTACATTCACCTATGGCTGGAAACTTTGAACCACCTGATCAAAAAAATCAAGGTAATATTAGAAACCTACATTCACCTATGGCTGGAAACTCTGAACCACCTGGTCAAAAAAATCAAGGTAATATTAGAAACCTACATTCACCTATGGCTGGGAACTTTAAACCACCTGGTCAAAAAAATCAAGGTAATATTAGAAACCTACATTCACCTATGGCTGGAAACTCTGAACCACCTGGTCAAAAAAATCAAGGTAATATTAGAAACCTACATTCACCTATGGCTGGAAACTTTGAACCACCTGGTCAAACAAGTTAATTAAAAAGTCTAGTGACAATTTTAGCGCAATTTCCTTATGTTATCTAAAAATAGCTCTGTCGTAGCGTAAATCAAGAGCAGGGTTAGTAAAACCATTGGTTAGTTATTAAAACGTTTTTTATTAAAAAAAAAATTCAGTATTTTACATGTTTTATTTACAATAGAGTTACATGACTAAAAACCATTGCGCGCCTAGCTACTGAACGTGATGACGAAGCCATAGAACGTGATGGTGCAGCTATTGAACGTGATGACGCGTGTGGTGTGGTTGGAAAAAATGCCTACTAATTCGGTCCAAATTTTAATTAATTCAAAAAATTTTTTGTGACCGAACGAAAGGATATTTTTGAAAACTTTCTTCTGCAATATTGTTCTAAATTATGGCAGGAATCGATTGGTACATGTTTCAAGTCGCTAAGTGGTCTGGTTGCCGAGATATGGGCCAAAAACTGCTTTTTTTCGAGGTTTTTTGGCTTTTCCGGGAAATCCATGAAAGAAACCCGGAATTTTTATAGCTTATGTTCATCCTCGTAACTTGCTTAACATAATTGCTTTTGGAACTAGTCATCGATATTGCTTCGTTGAGGAGGAGATACGACTTAAAGCTGCGGACACACATCCATCCATTCATTCATACATTCATACATCCAGAAATGACGGGTTAATAAACGCAATTCTCCAGAATGGAAATTGCGCTAAAAAATCAAGGTAATATTAGAAACCCGCATTCACCTAGGTGGGGCTGGAAACTTTGAACCACCTGGTCAAAGAAATCAAGGTAAATTTAGAAACCTGCATTCACCTACGTGGGGCTGGAAACTTTGAACCACCTGGTCAAAAAAATCAAGGTAATATTAGAAACCTGCATTCACCTATGTGGGGCTGGAAACTTTGAACCACCTGGTCAAAAAAATCATGGTAAAATTAGAAACCTACATTTACTTATGTGGGGTCGGAAATTGAAAAGTCTGAACCCGAAAACAAACCAATTCAGAAAGAATTTTTGGAGAATGAATTGCATAACTATTAATCACACTTAAGTACATGACTCAAAATCAAACAGAATAACACATTTAATTTAATATGAATGTTATCTCAATAATTTTTGAAGGTTATAGTGATAGAAGCAAGGAGATCATTAGGATAAGCTAAAACAATATATTTACTAGAACACAACTATTTTCAAGTTAATTGATGGCACCTTATTTAGATTTAAAGCCAGTTGGTTAAAAAGATTAGTCTTTTTTTAATGCTGTTCTTACTTTAGCTCCACGGATATCATACAACATAACCACTCCATCTTCATGACCGGATACCATTAACCGCCCAGATGGATCAACACACACGGATGCATATGGACTACCTGTTGAGCAGACGTATTTATTTATCCATCACATATTTATTTATGCAGTGTTGGTAAAACTAAAAAAAAACCAGCTAACTATGGATTAAAGCTCTGAATTTTTTTCACCTGACTATTATTATTATATAGAAACATATGCACTCTACTTCAACTGTTCTATCAACCAGTCAGGTCTAAAAAAAGCTAAAGCTTAAAATACATTCTACAACATAGTCGTTGTACATGAGGTTCATAAACTCTTTAAATCAATCTGAATAGTGCTGGTCATTTTTTGTTTTGTTTTGGCATTATAGTTGTTAAGTGTGACAGACTTTAGATAAAGAAAAAATAAAATAAAATGAGAGAACATCAAATAAAGTTACATAACAATTATAGAAATAAAATAAATCTCAATTAAAACCTTGCATTAAAAAAGAAATTTAAAAAATTTCAGTAAAAAAATATGCTGTCATTAGCTTTTACTGTCAAAGTACGAAAACATTTATTAAATTTAAAAAAAAAAAACAGTGCTCATATTTCACTCACCAGAGGGAGCTGGTACTACTGTAATGGGTGACGACGCCCTCAGGTCCCAGAATCTTGATGTCTTATCTTGTGAGCCACTGACAAACATACAGCCACCCCATGTGTGCAGGGAATAGATGTGTCCTATGGAATTCAACATAATATTTAAAATTTTTGGCACTTTATAACAATAGGAAGTCAACATTTTCAAATTTTAGGACAATTTATTTAAAAAAAATTGTATCCAAGCCAACAAAACAAAGTACAATCTTGCTTAAAAATAAGAAAAAAATTTAACATTAACTATAAGTGTTAATATCTGGTAATGCTTTGTATTTCCGAGTAAAAGTTAATAAATGTATACCTATAGTTAAGGCAGTTATCATTTTAAAAAATTATGATCTGTGTATGAAAGCAATAGTGACAACAGAACAAATTATATTTTATTTTATTTACATATTTTTATACATCGAATAAATTCAAACAACTCTAGCTGCAGAATTTGATGAAACTAAGTCATTCATATAATTGCATTTTTCAGCTAAAAGTAAAAATAAATGCCGCTTTAAATAACAAGTAACAGTACACATATAGTTGTGAAGGTGGGCTAAGGATCGAAAACTCACCTGTATGACCAGACATAGCCCGTATGGGGGCGCCGGTCTCGCAGTCTGTTACATAGATCTTACAGTCTCCAGCACCACCACTGATGAGGAGGGAGGAGCGATTGGTCACATCCTGCATGAACACTAGGTCACGGATGGTGCCGTCATGGAAAGCCAGCTCCATGCCAGGTCCTGAAATATTTTATTGTTATATGATTGTTATATTTTGTTCAATTGTTGTTATATTTAAGGCTAGCTCCATGCCAGGTCCTGAAATATTTTATTGTGATATGATAGTTATATTTTGTTCAATTGTTGTTATATTTAAGGCTAGCTCCATGCCAGGTCCTGAAATATTTTATTGTGATATGATAGTTATATTTTGTTCAATTGTTGTTATATTTAAGGCTAGCTCCATGCCAGGTCCTGAAATATTTTATTGTGATATGATAGTTATATTTTGTTCAATTGTTGTTATATTTAAGGCTAGCTCCATGCCAGGTCCTGAAATATTTTATTGTGATATGATAGTTATATTTTGTTCAATTGTTGTTATATTTAAGGCTAGCTCCATGCCAGGTCCTGAAATATTTTATTGTGATATGATAGTTATATTTTGTTCAATTGTTGTTATATTTAAGGCTAGCTCCATGCCAGGTCCTGAAATATTTTATTGTGATATGATAGTTATATTTTGTTCAATTGTTGTTATATTTAAGGCTAGCTCCATGCCAGGTCCTGAAATATTTTATTGTGATATGATTGTTATATTTTGTTCAATTGTTGTTATATTTAAGGCTAGCTCCATGCCAGGTCCTGATAACAAAGTATTTTATTGTTATATGATTGTTATATTTTGTTGTTTTGTTTAAGGCTAGCTCCATGCCAATGCCTGATAACAAAAGATGTTATTGTTATACTATTGTTACATTTTTATGAATTGTTTAAACAAAACTAATTAAAAACAAATAATTGATAATAATTAATTCCCTGTCTGTGAAATTTACCGTCAGCACTAAGAGTGTCCTTTGAACCTGGTCACTCTAATGCCCTCACCTCTACTGACCAGTGGCTATCTGTGAGACCTACCTTCAGCACTGAGAGTGTCCTCATTGAACCTGGTCAGTCTGATGGTCTTGTCGTTGCTGCCAGTGGCTATCAGATCGCCCAGGGGATTCCAGGCACAGCAGTAGATGGAGCCTTTGTGATGTTTGGCATGTTTGTAAACAACACTCGTCTCGTATGCCACATGTTCCTCTCTACACACACAAACATTACTTTATTAACTGAATGGTAACATTAAACACATACAACCATTACTTTATTAACTGAATGATAACACATACAAACATTACTTTATTAACTGAATGATAACACATACAAACATTACTTTATTAACTAAATGATAACACATACAAACATTACTTTATTAACTGAATGATAACACATACAAACATTACTTTATTAACTAAATGATAACACCTACAAACATTACTTTATTAACTGAATGATATCACATACAAACATTACTTTATTTACTGAATGTAAACATTAAACACATACAAACATTACTTAATAAAATTTAACACCCACGCATTACTTTGTTATAATAATGTTGCAAGGGCTTTTATGTGACTACAGTGTGGTAATCCCTGTCTTAACAAACCTACCTTAAATTTCCCATATTTGGAAACGCACAAACTCTGAGCATTTTGGAATTGGAGCCGATGGCGTAGAAGTTTCCCTTAGGGTGAAATGCTATGGTCCTGATGGCTTGTTGGTCCTCTAGTTTTGTGACAGGAATGAACCGCGGCTGTTGGAAATAAAACAACATGTAAAAGTAAAGTTCTTATTTCAAACCTGATGATCTATGGGGCAAGTGAAGTAGAGTTCTGTGACCTTAGCATATGAAGGGATAGTGTTAAGTGTAGTCAGCACTATGAACAGGTGATTTTACTTTCCCTAACATGAGTTAGGTACCCATCAGAGCTGGGTAGACTCAGGGACAGCCTACTGATTTGAACCCGGATTTGAACTCGAGACTTTTGGGTTAGCAGTCTAGCTCTCTACCGCTAGGCCACTCCGTCCCACCAAAGCCACATGTGGTTTTATGTAATCTGGTTTCACAGCCCTGTGTCTGACAGCCTCTACTTTTAAGTCTAAAGCACAAAGCTAACTTCTTTCCCTTCTCCACAAGAGCAATACATTTTTTTTAATTGGTGCTGTTAAGGACAAGGTGGCGATGACAAGAGACCAGTGTTTCTTCCAGACTTTTTCTCTGGGGGGGCACTTGAAATTTTTGGGGGGACGGACACTAGTAAAAGTATATGTTTACTATATAAAATCCATCTCGTTGGGGGGGGGGGGGGGGAAGAGGGGGGGTAGGCTTTCTTCGGAGGGGCTCTGCCCCCCGAAGAGATGCCTGGAAGAAACTCTACAAGAGACAAGTCAACTTGGTATGATTCCAAATGGATAATTAGCATTATTTCAAGAGAAGTGATCATTAGCTTTGAGGATTGTTTAAGTAAATTTTTAATTTTTGAAACAGCTACAAAGACAAGGCGGTAATCTATAAACGAGGTCACAATCTTAGGTGATGTTCGGACTTAAGTGGCAGTGTGTGGTAAGGGTAGGGAGAAGAGGGATGTTAAAAGTGTAACAACTAACTTTTATATTTGAGAAAATTATTTTGAATTTTTTAAATTGTTATTTTGCATTTCTATATGCCTGAAAATTAAAATAGAAATTGATTAATATAATAATACTAAACGTTGACAGAGCTCAGTAATTATTTTGGATAGAAAATATTTGTAGGCTGGGGGGGGGGGGGGGGGGGGGGGGGTCTGGCCTTTTGAGATGTGTGACAAATGGGGAGTGGGGAGGGTAAAAATCATTTTAAAAAGCTTGACACTGTTTATGGGTGACCCCATATGGCAAAGCGAACTCATACTTCTTTCTTCTCCTGTATTTTGTCTTTTTCTGCTATCATAACAGTTGAGGATAGGGTAGTGATAGCAAGAAAAAGTAACTTTCATATGAACGGGAATGGAAAATTACCATTCTTTTTTTTTTATTTGGCGCTGTGGAGGATTTTTTAAGATAAATTCATGATGTTAGAACAGCCACAAAGACACATATATGATGTTAGAACAGCCACAAAGACACATATATGATGTTAGAACAGCCACAAAGACACATATATGATGTTGGAACAGCCACAAATACACATATATGATGTTAGAGCAGCCACAAAGACACATACATGATGTTAGAACAGCCACAAATACACATATATGATGTTAGAACAGCCACAAAGACACATATATGATGTTAGAACATCCCCAAAGACACATATATGCTGTTAGAACAGCCCCAAAGACACATATGATGTTAGAACAGCTACAAAGACATATATATGATGTTAGAACAGCCACAAAGACACATACATGATGTTAGAACAGCCACAAAGACACATATATGATGTTAGAACAGCCACAAAGACACATATGTGATGTTAGAACAGCCACAAAGACATATATATGATGTTAGAACAGCCACAAAAACACATATATGATGTTAGAACAGCCACAAAGACACATATATGATGTTAGAACAGCCACAAAGACACATATATATGATGTTAGAACAGCCACAAAGACACATATATGATGTTAGAACAGCCACAAAGACACATATATGATGTTAGAACAGCCACAAAGACACATATATGATGTTAGAACAGCCACAAAGACACATATATGATGTTAGAACAGCCACAAAGACACATATATGATGTTAGAACAGCCACAAAGACACATATATGATGTTAGAACATCCCCAAAGACACATATATGCTGTTAGAACAGCCCCAAAGACACATATATGATGTTAGAACAGCCACAAAGACACATATATGATGTTTAGAACAGCCACAAAGACACATATATGATGTTAGAACAGCCACAAAGACACATATATGATGTTAGAACAGCCACAAAGACACATATATGATGTTAGAACATCCCCAAAGACACATATATGCTGTTAGAACAGCCCCAAAGACACATATATGATGTTAGAACAGCCACAAAGACACATATATGATGTTTAGAACAGCCACAAAGACACATATGATGTTATAACAGCCACAAAGACATATATGATGTTAGAACAGCCACAAAGACATATATGATGTTAGAACAGCCACAAAGACACATATATGATGTTAGAACAGCCACAAAGACACATATATGATGTTAGAACAGCCACAAAGACACATATATGATGTTAGAACAGCCACAAAAACACATATATGATGTTAGAACAGCCACAAAGACACATATGATGTTAGAACAGCCACAAAAACACATATGATGTTAGAACAGCCACAAAAACACATATGATGTTAGAACAGCCACAAAGACACATATATGATGTTCGAACAGTCACAAAAACACATATATTATGTTAGAACAGCCACAAAGACACATATGTGATGTTAGAACAGCCACAAAGACACATATATGATGTTAGAACAGCCACAAAGACACATATATGATGTTAGAACAGCCACAAAGACACATATGATGTTATAGCAGCCACACAGACACATATATGATGTTAGAACAGCCACACAGACACATATATGATGTTAAAATAGCCACAAAGACACATATATGATGTTAGAACAGCCACAAAGACACATATATGATGTTAGAACAGCCACAAAAACACATATATGATGTTAAAATAGCCACAAAGACACATATATGATGTTAGAACAGCCACAAAGACACATATATGATGTTAGAACAGCCACAAAAACACATATATGATGTTAGAACAGCCACAAAGACACATATATGATGTTAGAACAGCCACAAAGACACATATATGATGTTAGAACAGCCACAAAGACACATACATGATGTTAGAACAGCCACAAAGACACATATATGATGTTAGAACAGCCACAAAGACACATATGATGTTATAGCAGCCACACAGACACATATATGATGTTAGAACAGCCACACAGACACATATATGATGTTAAAATAGCCACAAAGACACATATATGATGTTAGAACAGCCACAAAGACACATATATGATGTTAGAACAGCCACAAAAACACATATATGATGTTAGAACAGCCACAAAGACACACATGATGTTAGAACAGCCACAAAGACACATATGATGTTAGAACAGCCACAAAGACACATATATGATGTTAGAACAGCCACAAAGACACATATATGTTAGAACAGTTACAAAGACACATATGATGTTAGAACAGCCACAAAGACACATATATGATGTTAGAACAGCCACAAAGACACATATATGATGTTAGAACAGCCACAAAGACACATATATGATGTTAGAACAGCCACAAAAACACATATAGGCTGCAACAAACCTTGTGTGGCTGTGGTTGTGGCTGGGGTTTGGTGATGTCTGAAGATCTGCGTGTGGGTTGGACCGCTCCAATTTTACCAGGAATCTGTCGAGTCTCTGTAAACAGAAAATATTGATACTGGTGAACCTGATGATCAATAGCAGGTTATTCTTTTTAAATGTACACATTTAAAAACTTCTAAAATAATTATTTTCTAACAATAATATCTTCAATTATTTTCAGTGTTGAATTAATGGGAAAAAGCATTTATAATATAGCACTTTTAGGTCAAAATATACTAAAAATAGTTGAATAAATTTAAAATAGGAGAAAATTATATGGATAAAAGATTAATGTCAAATCTGTGCATTAAAATTACTTGGTACAATAAACTACGCCACTCACAAAATAAAAAGTGAATTATAAAAAAAGGTTTTTTAAAAAAGTTGGTGCAGAAATTAAATCATAATTTAAGCAATTAGCTATAATTTGACTACGATAGTATTAATAGATAACAAGTGACATTTTTTTTTACTGTTGCAAACTGTGTGACAAAAATAAAATCACTTCTAGCAAAAATAGATATAAAAATACATTTAACCTGTTATGACATAAGCAAAATTATGACAGCAAATTACTTTTGTATACAGATCTTGTTCTCGCATCTGTCTACATAAAAGATCATTTTAAACTCAAGTTCCCATTGAGTCAACTGTGTATTGTAAGAGTTTTTTTTAAATATTTATACTCCCTACAAATACAGGAATCATCCTATTTAAAAGCTATATAATTCTTTATGGCAATAAAGTAGTTTATTATTCATTACCTACAAGAAAATACTTGAAATAGAGTTACACCTTTATTTTGACTGACTTAAACATCTTGGTCTATTGACTCTACTAATTTTTTAAAATAATAGCAATCATTACAACGGCTATCCCACTGTAAAATTGCCCTCAAAACTGGTACAAATCTACACACAGTGGAGTGGATGCTACCACAAGATGATACAGTGCTAACTACTTAACCCAGCAACACTAATATTCTTTTTCAACATTACTGTTAACGTGTTTAGGAGATGATTTTCATTGGGTTTTTTTTTTCAATTATTTTCTAAAACATTGCATCTAGTGAGGTACTAATCATTATCTTGACCACATTAGTTTTATATTGATATATTTTGACCAATTATACCTTAATCACTAACTATAGATATTACGGTTTTTAAAAAAACAAGAAATTATGTAATCCTTATTATAAAGGAGAATGTGTCTTTGGCTCAAAAGAAGGGGGCTAGAAATGTGGTTTGATTTATGAAGTTTGAGACTAATATTCTAGATAACCAGGTCTACCACCACTAATCAAAATGTATCATTTATTATGAATATGATTAAAAGAACAAATTTTAAATGAATTTTTTTTTAAATAGAAAATATTTGTACATTACTCAAAGTAGGCTCTATTTTTCAGCTATTTAGGTCTTAATCATTTGTTTTGATTTATATAGTTATAGACTGCTATCCTTAAAAGCATATCTTTGACTTCATTGTTGAAGTGTTACAATTTACAAGTGTTACACGCTTATGGGGTTAAGTGCACATACGTGGGCATGGCATCAGATGACACAACATATAGGCAATGTTTTCAGGTAGTTTACATGCATGGAACTACAACAAGAGACTCTGGGGAACCACAAGGGAACCAAATGGGAACCACACGGCAGAGGCGTAGTGACGATTTTGGTGCCCTGGGCGAACTATTATTTTTTAAGACCCCCACCCCCGCCATTTAAATATATAGCTATTTGGAAAGGTCGGGAAGCTTTTACTAGTCACTTTCCTTTTTTTACTTTCTCGTATATACGAAGTGAAAAAAAAAATTGAGATTTTTACAAATCTTTTAATTATGATATCACACAAATGATGTAAAAAAAGTTTAAGTAGTCCGTTAAGCCAAGTAGCAATCTATTTTCTTAACCTCGACTGGATAATACAGTAATGCAGCTAAGAATGTGCTTTTATTAATTTTTTTTTACCTAGTTTGGCATGCCCCTAGGGTTGCGCCTGGCGCGACCGCCTAGCCCACCCTTCCCTAGCTACACCTCTGCCACACGGAACCAAATGGGAACCACACTAGAACCAAATGGGAACCACACTTCAAGCCTTACAACATGCGGTTTCACCTTTGGCCGAGTTGGTCCTGTTTAATCCAGCTGTTTGTTTGTTGTCGCTTACGGCAGATTTTGCGCTCTTCATTTTAGCTGAGTTTGGCATTGACAAATTTAGTGCATAACATTAGCTACGTTAGTCTACAATGTTCATATTATGCATTCTAATAATTTCCAACTAATTATAATTGAATTGTAAACGTACAGGTCTAAGGATTAAACTGATGAAACACCCAAGAAATACAGGCATCTCTTTCATTTACTAACTGCTTTACTTTCCCCAACAACAACTATTACATAATGCATTCTGATCAATTATAATTTAAATGTTAATATTTCAAGACAAACTAAGCCGGCATATCATTTCACAGAAACTGTTACAAACTTGTGCATTAAGTATTAGTGGCTAAAGATCAGATTGTTGCCAACACAGAGTTAGAACATGGGAGAGTGGAGAGATCTAGACAATTGCAATGTTTATGTTTTTTATAATAAAAAATGTAGATGTTAGTTATTCTTAATCTAGCTTTTACAAATAAAAGCAAAAAAAAAAAAACTGTATACCAAGAAATAAAAAAAAAGAAGTATGTCTACACCAAATTAAAATAGTAGGCTGCTGAAAAGCAAGACAGTTTAAACTGTAAAAGTTAACTAAAAGTATAACAGTATGAAAATAAAGTTAATTATTTTCTATTTTAATCTTAGCGATGTGTAATTTACTTTTAACAGATGAGTAGATAGTAATAGATGTACAAAGCAGTAAAGACTAGCAGCTTTTATATGGTTACTCAGATGTTGTAACAAAAATGTCACAAAGATGTTGTCACAAAGATGTCACAAAGATGTAACAAAAATGTAACAAAAATGTCACAAAGATGTTGTAACAAAAATGTCACAAAGATGTTGTCACAAAGATGTCACAAAGATGTAACAAAAATGTAACAAAAATGTCACAAAGATGTTGTAACAAAAATGTCACAAAGATGTTGTAACAAAAATGTCACAAAGATGTAACAAAAACGTAACAAAAATGTCACAAAGATGTTGTAACAAAAATGTCACAAAGATGTCACAAAGATGTCACAAAGAAGTGATAGATAACAGAGAAGTAAAACACTTAAGCCAAAGCTGTATTTCATCATAGAACTCCACAATTCTTGACACAGGTACAACAGGTTATCTTATACTGTTAGCATGCACACTTTGTGTATTTAAACAACATCAAATATTTTGTTCATTTTTGGATAACACAGCTACAAATTTAACAACTTATTCAATCAATCATGTAAATATTTCAAGATAAATCAAAATTGAAATATTTCATAACTTTTTAGAAATTAAGACATAAAAACATCTTTGTTTTGTATATATTTTCCTTTAAAAATTGTGAATCAAGATTGATAACATCTTTACAAGTTGGATGGATTTTAAATTTATTTCATACAAATCATCAGCATACAGCAGGGAGAGTGAGCTACCATGCTTGGGGATGCTTGTTGTGTGAGTAAAATGTCAGTCAGTGTAGGGTGGGGGGCAGGGGAGGTAAGGCTGTTAGTTCTGGCTGGCTACAGTTATCAGAAAGTACAAGAAAAACTTTCAGCCATGCTGAGGTGCAAAAGGAAACTCAGCTGATTTAGAGTACCTGGCAGGGGCAGAGTCTTGGACCTGGAATCTTCGTCCTTCGCGGCCTTCTGCTTGGCTGCTAGACCAAAGGCACGACGGGCGGCTGTTGGGGTGGTGGGGGTGGTCGGGGTGGACGGAGCCGTGGCCAGCTTGGAGGTTCTCCTGGGCAAAGTGCTGGCACCTGATGTCAATTTCCTTGGGCCAGGAGAACCAGGCGGGACTAAATTCTTTTGAGTTGTCGGAGTGGACGCGCCATTTCCCTTTCTGGCAGAGGCGGCGCTGCTGGTTGGTTCCGGAGTTATTGGTCTTCTGGTGGTTTTATTGGCTGAGCTCAGGGTAGGCCGTCCAGCGGATGCCCCAAAGGACAAACTCCGACCTTTTCTTGGAGAAGATGGTCTGCTTGAACTGGGATCCGCTTTTCCTTCCCCAGGTTTTCTCTGAAGTCGCGGGGTACTGCTTCCTCTTCCTGCTCCGTTAGCTGTTTCTGGGAGGTCGTCGAGCTCGTCTGAAGTAAAAACATCCTGGTCCTCTTGGTCAGGGAGGACAAAAGCATGTTCTGGGAGACTGAAGGCCACGTTTCTCTTGCTGTAGTCGTCGTTGTCGGTTGAGCTCGAGGTCAAAATTCTTCGCACTGGCCGAGGCGTTGTTGGCGTGCTTGGCACAGTAGCTGGAACCGGAGTCGACGGAGTTTGCGGTACCTGGTTCGATGGCGTCGCTGACCGTTTGGGGAGGCTATGCCTTCTACCAACCATTGGTGAGTTGGGGGCGCTTTGAGAGGAGATATCTACCCCGTCGGACGTGACGGCGGCCAGGGCTAACCTCTCGGCCGCTGTCTTTAACTTTGGGATCCTGCAACTTGTGGGTGGGGATGTGAAATCTAAAAATAGATTACCTGTCTTGCTTGGACCGACTAGACTTTGTTCCTGTTTAGCGGTAAGGTCAGAGCTGTCGTGGTCCCCTTTGTTGTTGATGTCTACGTCAGGCTGGTGTTGTTGCTGCTGGGGTTTGGCTATGACGATGGCGGCTGGTTTGTTCTTTTCTTTGGGGAGGGGGATGAGGGTTTGGGAGGCCACGGGGAAAGGGGATATCTGGTCAACTTGATAGGGGTCAGATGAGCTTTCAGACACGCATCTATTGTCATTGTTGACATCTATAGCACACAGAGAAACAAAAAAAAAAACACTGATACGGAGTTACAACATTAAAGATGGCATGCAACTGTTTATCTCCCTTGACAATATTCGTCTTAACTAGTGCAAATATATGAACTTAATTACTGCATAGTGCTGAAATAAAAAGCAGAAATATTTAAATAAAGCCACAAGCATGCACATGAAAATAGCACATAATATTAAGAAAAAACATTAAATACAAAAGTTACATAAAATCATTACACTTAATAAAATTATTCTCATGTACGGAGGCATACAATTCAGAAGACAATAAATAATAAAAATAATGTGAAGAGTCTACCTAGATTAACTTTTTTACTTATTGGGAAGATGAAAACCATTTTCCAGCTTTTGATAGTTTAATGTATATCTTTTCAAAAACACCAAATATATATATATGTATGCATGGTTTGATTACAGTTCTTAACATATCCTTTTTCGTTTAGAATTTTGAGTCTCTCCCCACCCCTCAAACTAAAAATGTTACTATAAATAAAAAATAAATTTTATAGGCCTAGGCTTATTCAAACGTTATTTTCGTAGGTTACGTCATTTGTGTATGCAGAGTATAAAGAAGAGGTGGGGGGTGTAGGGATGAACAATGAAAGTACAAGTGCAAAATCTAACCCAAATGTGGAGTAATCATTGTGCGATTGCAAGTTTGCGATGGACTAGGGACTAATGGACTGCCATTGGTGCTTCACATTTTAGCATGTAAACAGACTGGTGCTAAAGTTGGTTACAACACAGTGCTAGCATGTCTTCAGCTAACCAACACTGACAACAGACCATTCATACAACTGACCAGTGCTACACACCAATAAGACTCAAACACACAGGTGACCAGTTACACACTCATACATGGGTTATGCCTGCAGCCAAATGACACTGCTACAGACCCATATAGCTTTAACAACACACAGGGGCTTAAACGTGACCAGTGTTGCACACTTTTTTTTTTCTTTTTTGATGTTCGAAATCATGCAAAGAATTTGATGTAAAGTTTCGCTTTTTAAGCCTGACGGTCTATGGAGCAAGTGAAATAGAGTTCACTTGTTTCTGTGACCTCTCAGCACTATGCTCAGCCGCCTTTACTTTCCCTAACGTGAGTTAGGTACCCGTCAGAGCTGTTGCACACCCATACAGCCAACTGACCAATGCTACACAGTTCTACTACACACCCATATGGCTCTGACCACACACACGCGCGCGCGAGCCGACACACACGCCGTAAACTCGATCTTCCCACAACACACACCGGCGACCAACTGACCCAGCGTTGCACAACCGTAACGCGCCCGCTTCACGCTCGCTGACCACACAACACGGCTACCCCACTGACCTTGTTTAGTACACCTTCAGTGTAGTGTAGTGGACGGGGGGTGGGGGGAGGGGGAGGGCGGTACACGTAGGGGTGGGGTTAGAAGGGATGGGCAGACGGGGATGAAAGAAAACAGTACCATGCGCTTTTATTAGACTGGGTAGCATTGGGCGAAACCATTCCAATCCGTGTTTACAGAAGACAGGCGATGATTTAATCAAGCAGACGACACAGATTGCCGCGCAAATAACTACCACACACGGAGGTGCCACCCCTGCATTAATTCTCCACTCACCGGTACTTACATTTTCTTTTCTTTTTTTTAATTTACTAACTAATCTAAGTCTTTGTTTACCTTGGCCTAACAACGCGGTTTCTACACAACTTTTATCAAATCTCAATGGCGCTGATTATCGCCTGCTCAACGGGTGAAGTTCTCGCTCAAGGGCAAAGAGAAGATAACTCATGTCAAGCTACCCTTATATAAATTTTACTATCGGATTTAGTGATGGCCGATTGTATGACAATCAGCTTATCGATACTCTTTGTAGATTCGATTAAATCGATTACTCTGATTGGGAAGTCGTAATCTATTTCTCCTATCCGCTCAGCGTTGGTGTATTAGCCGTAAACTTATCACACCTTATGTTATCTGTTTGCATCAGAACCATGACCACGTGGCGTGGTACGGCTAAGCCAAGTGTACATGTTTACCGTTCCGCGATCATCATTATCATGCGTTATGTAAATAAATTTAATAAACATGGATTTCTTGTAAGCAATAAAGTCACAAAAAAAAGCCCTCGTTAGTTTTTAAGCTTGCCGCCTCATACAGAGTTGAGGAATGAAGTAAAACAACTATGGGGTCGTCCATAAATGACGTCACACTCGTAGGGGGAAGGGGGTCTGTAATTTTGTGACGGTGTGTGATGAGGGTGGTGGGGGTGGAGGTTTCAGATGGTGCGACGTCACACTTTTGCATTATAAAAAAGCATTGTTAGAAAACAAATTTTAGACGTTTTAGAAAACTGTTTTAATAAATTGTAGGGCTAATAGGAATTGATTAAAACATTCTATTTTGACAGAGTTCAGACGCGATTTTAGAAAAATATAGATGGTTAAAAAAAATTCACAACTGCAATTTTGAGGGGGTTGTAGGCTGAGGTGTGACGTCATTTTAGGGGGGGGGTCTGGCTTTTTGTGACGGAGGGGAGGGGGAGGTAAAAACCGTCAAGAAAAAAAGCGTGACGTCATTTATAGATGCCCCGCTCAGTGAACAAATCGCACACGCGCGTAAAACATTTACGCGCTATAATATGTCCAAAGCACATAGAGAGAGCAATACATGCTTGGGAACATGTTTATTGGAATTATGTAACTGTCAGTGCTTGTGAAATAGATCTTATTTGCTAATAACTAGCTTTTTTTTAAAAAAAGTAGATGATGAAAAACAAAAGAGCTATACAAAACGCCTCTTAACTAGCACTCTAACACCATAATAAGGAGTAACAGGGGGAGGGGTGTTACGTATGAGCTAGACCTTAACCTTTAACCCGCCACTGATCTGATATTGTGGGACGGGGTGGTAGAGAGCTAAACAATAGAATCTCCCTGAGTCCATCCAGCTCTGATGGGTACCTAACTCACGATAGGGAAACAAAGGCGGCTGCGCATGGTGCTGACCCCACTATCCCTTCATATGCCGAGGTCTCTGAAACAAATGAACTCTACTTCATCTTCTCCATGTGTCTTGGACACTAGCGGGAAATGATGATATGATATAAAGTTATAACCCTAAACCATCAATAACGCACCTTCACAATTCTCCCCAGGTTGTCAAGATGGACACTGTGGTCACTCTGGTACTGGTGTGTAGCTTCGTGCTGACCAATCGCCCGGACAACCAGGTCACCACTGACCACCCTGGCACGTGTCTACACTGTCTGGTAAGTAAACCATGCTACCCCCCCCCCCCTCCCCCACCACTTGTTGCTGTACTCTAACCCCCATCCCTTTACTCTTGCCTTTCTATTACAGTCTATGCCAATTGTATACCCTTACTCTTCTAAAAAGAAGCGCCTCACTCTCCTTACATTTTACGCTAAAATATTTAATGGTGATAAAGATATTACTTCAGTACATGGATTGGGGGGGGGGGGGGGTGGTTCGTCCATCAGTGTATATCACACTCACACGAGTGAATAGAGATAGTCCATAGAGAGGGGGTAAGACAATAGTGATGATGTACAAAATCCGGAGAGTGACATCCGAAATTAAAAGGTGGATTAAAATTTTTCATAGTTTTCATAAATTTTGGTTCCATAGAGGAGACGGCAGTAACGTAGCGAGGGGGGGGGCATATATCCCCGGGCGCCGACCTTAGGGGGCGCATAAAAGGGTTGGAGAAATAAATTGAAAGGTTGAGGGGGTGCAAATTTAAGATTTGAGGGGGGGGGGGGTGCAAATCGAAAAGTTTGTCCCCGGGCGCCGGGAAGGGTCGCTACGCCTCTGAAAGACGGTGAGGGAGGGAGAGGGGGGAGACTATAACGTCACAGGGATCTGGAATGTGTGACGATCTATAGCACTGGGATAACGTCAGATAAACTTTTGCGTGATGTAAATTTTGTTTTAACTCCTTAATTACACGACCTAGCAAAAGCTACTTCTTGATTTACATAATAAAATTATTTCTGAAACCTTTACAGGGGTTTGGAGGCAGTTGCTGTTAATTAAATAACAATATATGTAAACACAGATTATTATTGCATTATTCAGCATTGTAATAATACTCAATGATTACATGTTATTTCTGAATACTTTTATCAACCCCCTCCTTAAAACTCACTAGCCACAGAAAATTCGAAAAATAGTATCAAATGTAAACGACTTTATTTTTTTTAAAAATATTTTATTATTATTTTCATAAGTGACCTTGCTATTCCAGAAACCTCGCGTTACACTGAACATCAAACGTCTGCCTACACCCTCCACCAACCAAACCTCCGGGTACACCCAGGATCGAAACCACACCAGCACCAGACACGTAACACCACTCCCAACATCATCACAGTCGCCTGAACTGACTGCAAAGTTTCATCGGTCTCAAACGGGTCAACGTGGGAACGTTACAGCGGAGCCGCATGCCACTTTCACACGGTCAATCTTTTCACTCCCCAACGCCACTCACGCATCAGAAGTTGAGCACAGCCACGACAGTGGTACTCACCATGTGTGCTCATCCAACCATCCCAACCTACGGCACTTGTGTTCCCAGGATGCTCTGGACAACCAGCCCGCAGTAACTGACAACATTACTCAAGTACGTGTGAATAAATCTAAAGTACTTGACAACAACTCTGAAGTAGTGTCTAATAAATCTCGATTTGACAACGAACAAGCAGCACTTAAAAGTGGGTACCCAATACTTGATAATATTACTGTAGTACTTGTCAACAACACAGTACTTGACCATAAACCAGCAGTACCTGGCTATAAATCTGAAGAACTTGACCACAGACCCATAGTACTTGACAACAAATCAGTACTTGAACACCGATCAACAGTATCTGACAACAAATCTGTAATACTTCACAACAAAACTTATGTACCTGACCACACGCCAGCAGTAAATGATAGCCCAAAAATACAACACGAAAT